ACATAGACATGTCACCCTACACATACACATAATTCTGACTCCAGGTGACAAGTCTTTGGTTTAGTACCTGGAATCAGTAATGTATGGTTGGTATGTTTTTACTGTGCTTATCCTATAGGCTTTGCCTTTTCACATTACAAATTGCTACAGTATTATCCCAAAATTGCAATTTGAATTCATCTCTACAAACAGATCAACTGGTAAAACAGTTTAGTTTGTAGGGATGAATCCGAACTGCAATTTGGTAAAATATTTAAGCAATTGGTATTACAATAGGGGAAAACCTATTAGATGAGCACTGCAAATGATTTTTAAAGCTTTTGTGATAAGTGTAAGAAAAAATGCCTCAAAATACATTATAATACTTTCTTCAGAATTGTTTATGATATGAAACTAGAGGCTCTAAAGAGCCTATGTAGCTCACCTAGGTCTATGTGCATTTTCAACAATGGATGCTCTCCATCTTTATGGTCTAGAAAAGAATTCATGACAAAAAATCTCTTCTTTGTGGATCTAGTCTTGCTGATCATTTTTGATTATCTATCTAATGTAGTTTTTCAGATAGTAGGCAACAACGAAAAAAAATGATAAAAATCGTTATCAAAGAAAACAACTCAAATAAGGGATCATCCGACAATTTAAACCATGTTGATTTATTTGTAGATCTTGTCTTGCTGATTATTTTTGCTTATTTAAGTTTCTATCTATCTATTATAGATTTTCAGCTATAAGGCAAAAAATTGATCAGAACCATCATTAATGGGCAATAACTCCAATAAGGGGTTGTCAGACGATTTCAACTACTAAGACTTATTTGTAGATCTTGTCTTGCTGATCATTTTTGCTTATTTAAGTTTCTATCTATCTACTGCACATTTTCAGATATTAGGCAAAAACGCAAAAAATTAGTAAACATCGTCAATAAAGGGCAATAACTCCAATAAGGGGTCATCAGATAATTTCAACCATGTTAACCTTTTTCTAGAACTTATCATGCTGATCATTATTGCTATATAAAGTTTCTGTCTATCATCATTTTCAAAATAATAGGCAAAAAGTTAAAAAGTTAAAAAGTCTGACATTTTGGGGGCAAATGGGCAATAGGTAGATCTCATCATTCCAAACATTTCTGCAGATTTTCTCTATTTATAGTGGTTTTCAAGATAATAGACAAAACTTGCATTGTACCCCTATGTTCTATTTTTATCCATGTCGGCCACCTTGGTTGGCTGTTGGGGTAATCCGTCATATTTTTTAAACTAGATACCCTAATGATGATTGTAGTTACGTTTGGTTAAATTTGGATCAGTAGTTTCAGAGAAGAAGATATTGTTAAAGTTAACGACGACGGACACCAAGTGATGAGAAAAGCTCATTTGGCCCTTCTGGCCAGGTGAGCCAAAAACACATTTTTTTCAATGTATGCAGACCAGGCTTGGGGTAATTGTAATTGTAATCATCAATCAGCTGTAATCGATTACAAATTTTCAAGTTTTGTAATCATTGATCATCCAAACATCGGATTACATGTTATTTAATTTAATCAATTAATTTTCAAAATACCTTGATTACTTTTTTATTATTACATACTGATTACTTGCAAAAATAAAGTAAAATCACAAAAATACTGAACTCCGAGGAAAATTCAATCGGAAAGTCCCTAATCACATGGCAAAATCAAATGACAAAACACATCAAACGAATGGACAACAACTGTCATAGTCCTTACTCGGTACAGGCATTTTCAAATGTAGAAAATGGTGGATTGAACCTGGTTTGATAGCGCTAAACCTCTCACTTGTACGACAGTCTTATCAAATTCCGTTATATTTACAACGATGCGTGAACAAAACAGACATTATAAATAAAATAGTCAAAATATGGGTACAGCAGTCACCACTGTGTTACAATATCAAAACAAACAATTATTTACAAAAAAGCACATAAGCATCTATCAAATTAAAAACCACATTCATTGCTTCGCGTGTCTGACGTCAGAAAATGTAAACGTTACACAAGAAGAAATTTTGTCATTCAATGTTTATTCAAAACAATTTTATAATTTCACATGGGGAATGTTGGTATACATGGTTAAAAAATCAAAAGTTATGTTAGAATTAATTTCAGAAATAGACCGAGATTTAAAATTGTCCAGAAGTTCTTTAGAATTTTTAAGAATCCACATATGGTTAATACCACTACGCGAGTAAAATAAATTTGTCGCACGAGTGCACATGCTGAAATGTCTCACCTACTATACTGACCATTGATTTTATGTTGATAGTCCTACATATAAAGTTTTACTACAAGTATCACATTAACACTTACCATGCTGAATTATTTTCAGAAAATGTCTAATTTTCGTTTATTTGCAAAAATATGCAAATTATATGCAAATGAGCTTTACCCTGCTGCTGAAGCATATTGATTCCTTCAAATCTAAGTTAGGGGATCACGGGGCGGGGTGAGCAGGCGGGAGTGGGTGGGCAGGAATTTGCCCCAAAGTTGGTCATCAGGTGCAAAAAGCGTCATATTTCTTGACCCCAAAGAACGAGGGATGCTGATATAGGTATCCAGCTGTAGTCTGCATGTACATCAGTGGACCCCAGTAAACACATTAACCCCAACAGTTCTTAGGTTGGAGTGAAACTGATCTGGGAACACCAGTCTTAAGAAGGTCATTTGGACAAAAAATACGGAATTTCACGATTTTTTCCGATTTTGGACTTCAACTGGACCTGAAACCGGAAGTAGTCGTTTCATCTGCGTATTTCAATAATAATTATGATCAGTAGATATATGCCTGCGGGTTTACACTATTTTCGAAAGTTTTAGGCCTCTGAACTTCCTGTGTAAGACACCGAAGGGAAGCCCACCCCTCCAGAAAAACCAGTTTTATCCGATTTCAATTTTCCAAGTTTTTTTAGCTCAAAATGCAACTTAAACATGAGAAACATGACAATAGATAGCCTCAGGTTGAGGGAACATGCATCAATTTCGAAATAAGTATCATAAAGTTGACCTCTAAAAGTATGGAGAGCCATTGGAGCCAAATAACGGTGGTTTGGGTAACCCTGTCATATGACAGGCTTAGCATGGTAAGGGTTAACATTTATGATCCAAGAAAATAAGGTCAAGGTCAGATAAACCATGCCGGAAATACATGTACACCTTTAATACAATCCCTCCATGCACAGAATATAGATGACCTATTGCTTATAGTATAAAAGAAACAGACCAAACCATGGAAATTCTATACTGACCAATGAACCATGAAAATGAAGTCAAGGTCATTTGAACCCTGCCAGACAGACATGTACACCTTAAAATCATTCCATGCATCAAATATAGTTGACCTATTGCTTAAGGTATCTAAGAAAAAAAGTTAACCAGGAAAACTGAACATTGACCAATCAACCATGAACATGAGGTGAAAGTCAGATGATACCTGCCAGACAGACATATACACCTTACAATCATTCCATACCCCCAATATAGTTGACCTATTGCTTAAAGTTTAAGAAAAACATACCAAAACACAAAAACTTAACATAAGCAATGAACCATGAAAATGAGGTCAAGGTCAAATAAAACCTGCCAGACTGACATGTACATCATTAAATATTTCCATACACCAAATATAGTTGACCTACTGCATGCAGTATTAGAAAAAGACCAAAACACAAAAATTTAATATTGAGCAATGAACCGTGAAAATGAGGTCAAGGTCAAATAAAACCTGCCAGACTGACATGTACATCGTAAAATATTTCCATACACCAAATATAGTTGACCTACTGCATACAGTATTAGAAAAACAGACCAAAAAACAAAAACTTAACATTGAGCAATGAACCATGAAAATGAGGTCATGGTCAAATAAAACCTGCCAGGCTGACATGAACATCTTAAAAATATTTCCATACACCAAATATAGTTGACCTATTGCATACAGTATTAGAAAAACAGACCACAGCACAAAAACTAAACTATGACCACTGAACCATGAAAATGAGGTCAAGGTCAGATGACACATGCCAGTTGGACATGTACACCTAACAATCATTACATACACCAAATATAGTAGACCTATTGCTTATAGTATCTCAGATACGGACTTGACCACGAAAACTTAACCGTGTTCACTGATCCATGAAATGAGGTCGAGGTCAAGTAAAAGCTGTCTGACAGGCATGAGGACCTTGCAAGGTAGGCACATACCAAGTATAGTTATCCTATTACTCATAATAAGAGAGAAATTAACATTACAAAAAAAACTTTTTTTTCAAGTAGTCACTGAACCATGAAAATGAGGTCAAGGACAATGGACATATGACAGACATAAACTTCATATCATAAGGCATCTATATACAAAGTATGAAGCATCCAGGTCTTCTACCTTCTGAAATATTAAGCTTTTAAGAAGTTTGTTAACGCCACCGCCGCCGGATCACTATCCCCATGTCGAGCTTTCTGCGACAAAAGTTGCAGACTCGACAAAAATGAAAAAAAAATCATATTGTGTTTATGGTCAATATATCATGTCAAAATGTTCATGTATGTATGTTGTGAATCTTTGTGGTTTATCAAATTGATGAAGTTTGAAGTTATGTAATAACATACCAAATAAAATCCTTTTTCAAAAAGTGCTATAGTTATAATCTTTTTTTATTAACATCATTCAAATGGGTATTTTGAAATTCATTGTAATGAATCATGATTAATTGCAAATGTAATCATTAAGTAAATAAATACTTAAGAGAAATGGTGTAATCATTAATTTAATTTAATCTTACAATTGACAAAGTAATTGTAATTTAATCAATTACATTGAAAGTAATCTGACCCATCTCTGATGCAGTCTTAATTTGCATAAATATGTAAAAAGTTCCAAAAAATTTTTTTTTCCATATTAAATGACAAAATTTCATTCCATGTCCATGTGTAGTAAACCATAACACCAGAAGCAATACCTTTGCCAATAAAATAACTAATGCAAATTCTTAAATTTAAATAATAATTTATTCATAAACCTGCTCCAACACATCCTTCTTTTTACAATTATAAATAAAATTATCTGTGTTGTCAGAATTTAATTCACAATGTAGATTAATTTTCTTCCAAATTCCTTCTTCTGACCATTTGTTTGCATAATGACTGAATCTGTCTTCAAATTAAATATGACATTTTCTGGCACAGCTACAAGTCCTTTCTCTATATTATTGTAATCAGGGATCGTTCTACTGTTTTTATCATGATCTGTGTACATCATGAGTTTTATCTGCTTTGTATCTGTAAATACAAGAAAAGATATATTTTTATTACTAGTGTATGAAGATTCTGTTAAGTACTGGTATTAAACTGAGTGCCTCTTGGCAGAAATTTGACCTAAAAATAAAAATGACTTGTACTAAAAAAACTGTAACACAGAGGTATTACTTTTGTGACCCTATCACAAACTTCAACAACACCCGTATTAGAAATAGCACGCATAGGTCCTTCAGTGACTATCTGTGACAAAGACAACACAATTTTGAGTGCAGCAGTCATTACTTTTTCATTTTGGTTTTCCCATTTATTATTAAGTCACTCAATTAAACAAACAATTGGGTACTACATCCATTTTATTTTGTAATTCAATTTGGCCTCATTTTAACCTCACCAAACATGACTTAAGCTTACTGCTGCTATCTTAATGAAAATATAATCTCATAATAAAGTGCTCCGTTGGGGCGCAGCTTGATACGACCGCAGAGATCGAACCCTGAACAGTTGGGGCAAGTATGGACACAACATTCAAGCTTGATACAGCACTGAATTTGGATTGTAATTAAATATTTGACACAGCATAGGTTTCTGACACAGAATGAATGTGGTCTAAGAACTTAAAAACTTTTAATTTACCTATTCAAACCATATCATTATTATTTGCTTTTATATATAAATCAGAAATAACCAATTTAAAATGGAAAATTTTAAAGAAAAAAAAGGATATGGAACCTTGTAGTACAATTTCATAAATATCCATACACTTACACACAAGTTATTGTCCTGAAACTAGAAAAATGCTTGTTTTTTTGCCCCTTTATGGCCCCTAATTCCTACAATTTTGAGGCAATTACCCCCAAAATCAATCCCAACCTTTCCTTTGTGGTATGGTATCTTGTAGTACAATTTCAGAGAGATCCATACACTTGAACACAAGTTATTGGCTGGAAACTAGGAAAATGCTTATTTTTGGCCCCTTTCTGGCCCCTTATTCCTAAACGTTTTGGGCAATTACCCCCAAACTCAATTCCAGCCTTCCCTTTGTGATATGGAACCTTGTAGTACAATTTCATAAAGATCCATACACTTACACACAAGTTATTGTCCTGAAACTAGAAAAATGCTTGTTTTTTTTCCCTTTTTGACCCCTAATTCCTAAAATTTGGAGGCAATAACCCCCAAAATCAATCCCAGCATTCCCTTTGTGATATGGAACCTGGTGGTACAATGTCAGAGAGATCCATACACTTACACACAAGTTATTGTCATGAAACTAGAAAAATGTTTGTTTTTTGCCCCTTTATGGCCCCTAATTCCTAAAATTTTGAGGCAATTACCCCCAAAATCAATCCCAGCATTCCCTTTGTGATATGGAACCTTGTGGTACAATGTCAGAGAGATCCATACACTTACACACAAGTTATTGTCATGAAACTAGAAAAATGTTTGTTTTTTGCCCCTTTTTGGCCCCTAATTCCTAAAACTTGGAGGCAATTACCCCCAAAATCAATCCCAGCATTCCCTTTGTGATATGGAACCTTGTGGTACAATGTCAGAGAGATCCATACACTAACACACAAGTTATGTCTGGAAGTTACAAAAATGCTTATTTTTGACCCCTTTTTGGCCCCTAATTCCTTAACTATTGGTACCATAACCCCCAAAATCAATCCCCACCTTCCTTTTGTGGTATTGAACCTTATGGTAAAATTTCATAGAGATCCAATCACTTAAACTAAAGTTAGAGTGCGAAAACCAATGTGTCTTCGGACGTCGACAACGCCGGACGATGACGACGCCAACGTCATACCAATATACGACCACAAATTTTTTTGCGGTCGTATAAAAACCTAGTGTATTTCATGTATTTGCTTATATTTAGCATTCTTCTAGTTTCAGTTGGTACAATTTAAGGGAAATCATTTTGCCTAGCAGATTGTATGCCTTGAGTTGAAGACCGTACTGTGACCTATAATGGTTTACTTTTATAAATTTTGACTTGGATGGAGAGTTGTCTCATTGGCACTCATGCCACATCTTCTTATATCTACTTACAAGAATAAGTGTCTCTTTTAGAACCTCTTTTTTTCATTTTCAGAAACTATGCCAAATGGTAAGATACATAGTTAAAATATATAAAGTAACAGTGACAACTCAGTATGGACCAATTCACAAATGGTGATGCATTATGGGAATCTCACTGTTTTGGATGTTTTGATTGGTCCAAATTGCATTTTCATGAATGCCCAAGATGCACCATGTAATTCACAATGACACAACTGTAATTACTGAATTGGTACACTGGGTTACATAGCTGTCAACTGACCCATATTCTGCGGGTCACACCCGAGAATTTCCCCCTTCACACAGGATTTCAGAAAATGACCTGTTTTCACCCGTATTTCTGACCGGTATTGTTTCTGGTATTTAGAAGTCAAATATACTTTCGGTTTTCTCTGCGTTTTTCCTTTGAAAAGGTAAACAATTGAAATTAGAATCTGCTTATTTACTGTGCCAATGACAGCTATCAAAACATTACATTTGATTGAAAAGCAACAATTCGAGGATTGTTTGTTAATTGTACCCCAGAAAGTTGAAGCCCAGTCAAGCTTGACATACAATTCTAATGTCCTGATTAAAAGATTTGCCGTTTGCAAATATCAAATATCCTGTAAAAATCATTTTAAAACAATTTGAACCTTTAAATACATTTCTGTTGGAGAGAATAATTTTGTTATCACTTAAATGTAAAAGCTTTAAATCAAATCCATATGCTCTAGATATTACATTGAAAGGAAACATACAAACTTCTTTCTATTTATCTTCCTCCTGAGTATAGGAGCATATTAGCTATAATTGATTTCTAATTACATGTATAGCTGGGGTTTATGACATTCATTAATAAAAAGAAGTAAAGTAAACTAGTGTGAATAAAACAATAAAAGGGCATTGCCTTAGAAAGATATTTAATTAATGATAAATATTTATATACTTAACAAATACAAAAGTGATTATTTTAGGAAACTCAGTGGTACATGTATGTTATAGTATATAAAAAAAAACTCTCAACACATGTACTAAAATTGGAGGGAAAAAGTTTGTACACGGTATGACCTGACATTTTCTTCTTCAATGCAGGTCATGACCTGCATTTTCAGTTTCAGAGGTTGACAGGTATGGGGTAAGGATGTATAAAAAACAAATACTGACCATCAAACTTTTAAAATTTGGCCACAAAAATAACAAGATAGATAAGCAAAAGGCCATGGAATATCTTTTAAATATTTAAAAAAACAATTCTTACCTTTCATCTTGGATCGGTCTGTTTTCATCAATCTAGTTAGGACTTTGACCTTAGTATCGTCTTCAAATATTGGTAAGGCAACTTCAAATAAACCACTATAGGCCTGTGGGTTTATACATTGAACTGTGACAGAAGTCTGCAAAAAAAAGATTTTGAACATAATATCATTCTAGTGAACTACTTTGGTAGAGCATTGTCCACATCTGGCAAAGAATTCCACTTTCTGTTGATAGGTACCATATTGAACTAGCAGTAAGTTGCAAGTTTTAAGTCATGTTGAAGGCCTCAATATTACTTTTGAGATGAAGAACAGCTATAAAAGCAGTGTTTCTTTGCTTTGGTTTTCCATTTGTCACTCAAGTGTGTGAAGTTTTTTTCAAGTCCATGTCATGAATATAAGTAGACCATATCCCTTTTCCATTTCAAAAATATATTTGATTATGTTTGTGACAACAATGTCTTTTTCTAGTCTTTTAATATACTGTGATGTGAGCAAATGAATGTATTAAAGAAGTTTGATATTTTATATTATATTAATTTTTTTTTAACCCAAATGCTTCATTTTAAATAGTTGGAAGTAATACATTATAAAGGGAATATAATAAATTGCATCAGGTGTAAATTTAACTTCCAATTGCCTTAAAGTACGATTAAAATTCATAAAGAACCTGCCAATTTCAACACTTTCCAGTCTTATACAAGAACCATGTAATTGGGGTTTTTCTCATTGTTGAAGGCTGTACAGTGGCTTAAAATTGCTTATATCCACTTCTTTTGAACTCATTGGCAATCATACCACATCTTCTTAATTTTATATGTATGTTTAATATCAAAAATGTTCTACAGCTACAAAGACATAACAAATGAAGAAAATAGAAAATAACAGATTATGCATCCATTATGGAAACACTATGAGAGTACTAACCTCAATTCTGTATGTAATGTATGGTTTCCCTGGAGTACAATCATCCTTTATCTTGCCGTCACCATCATCTGAAAACTTGACATCTAAACCTTCAAGCTAAAAAGAAATTTGAAATAATTTTATCTCATTAAAATTGAAACTGTTGTTGCAAGAAAAAAATGGAATATTGCAGTATGAAAAAATCAAAAATCGAATGAAATGAATACTCTGGTTACCTGCACAAAGTGTGGATAGATAGATGGAAAGCATTATACTATTTACGCAATACCTGTATAACTTATGCAATGATTAATTAACGTGAAAAATACATTTAAATATTCACATTAATTGATCATAGCATAAGTTAATGCATGCCATGTGACAAATTGATGGTTAAAGTCCAATATATATATATAACTCTGGAACAACAGAGCAGTAAATTTTCAAAATCAAAAGAGAACTTTCAAGCTATGAAGTAAATTGACCCAAGCATACTCAAGTTAGTAAAATTGCCTTAAATCTGATGGTAAAAGTCCTGTAACTTTTGAGAGATAACATGATAAATTTTAAAATCAAAACAAAAGCTTTTTTACATCAACTCAAATATTTTAATACAAGTTTAATGAAATTCAATCAAATCAAATTATAGTTATAAACTAGTGGAAGGATGGACAAAACATATGTTTACTACAATTTTGTGAATTTTTACATAAAACCATCCAACTGTGTATGTTCAATTATCTATTTAATATAAACCAAAAAAATTTTGATTAATATTCCTCTTCAATACAGTGTACTACCTTGCTCTTTTATCAAGATCCATTTGATAATTTAAGAGGAGTTATTCTTACAAAATTAATATGATAAGATTGATCAAATAAATTCCCGAGTTTTATCGCTATTTTGTGTATTTTTTCCCTTGATCTTTTTTTGTGATAATTTGTCAGAAATTTAGGGCGCACGTGCCGTTGTCAAGTAAACATCAACAACGTCATAGGCAATATAAATAACGGTAAACAGATTATCAATGGTCTTTCAAACTACTGTTTACTTGTAGGAGTTTATCATTGTGTAAAGTGTCATTCATTGTCATCCAACAGTTTAGGACAAGTTGTGCTGACAGGAATCATGAACAGATGTACGTAGAGACCAACATGGTGAATTTCATGGCACCATATTTTCCAATAATGACCATGTCACCAACATCACATTTTTAATGCATATCAACGGCTACTTACATCAAGAGTTGTAACAAGATACTGATGATAAATTGTAATCACTTCTTTCTCATCAAAATCCATTGCTAGTTGTAAAGCCTTTGAACCAATTTTCTCAAAGTTATCCTGAATAATAAAAAGAAAAGTACGTACCAAAAATAGAAAGTAAATCTGTCTAAATCTAATCCCATTAGACAGAATTTAAAATAAGAATATTCTATTATAATATATACTGAGATTACCCCTAGTTATTGGTGGGGGTTCGTGTTTCTTAGTCTTTAGTTTTCTATGTTGTGTTTTGTACACTGTTGTTTGTATTTTGGTCGTCTTTGGTTTTTTTGCCATTGTACTTTCAGTTTGTTTTTAACTTCAGAGTTTGAACATCCCTTTGGTTTCTTCCGCCTCTCTTTTATTATCTGTCATGAAAAAGATTTCAAATTGTGCTGGAATCAGCTTCGACAGATTTCCCCTGGAGTCGCCTCACATTGCATACTAAAAATCTCCAGAGAATCATAAATCATAAAATTTAAATCCATTGTTATTATAATCCAGGTTAGATATGAATAACAAAAGAAAGGAATTGAGAATACACAGAGAATGTGTCTATGGGACTGCGTGAATATAATATTATAAAGGGACATAACTTAAGAACAGTAAAAGTGACACCACCCACATTCGAACTTGATCTTAGTTTTGTGGTAATAACCATTGTGTGTAAGTTTCATAGCATTTAGTTGAGGCAAACTTAATTTAGAGAACAGAAACAAAAATTTCAACAAATTTTCCATTTGTAAAGGGCATAACTCTAGAACAGTAAAGGTGACGCCGCCTAAATTCAAACTTGATCTGTGTTTCGTAGTAATAAGCATTGCATATAAGTTTCATAAGATTTGGTTGAAACAAACTAAAGTTAAAGAACGGAACATTTGTAAAGGGCATAACTCTAGAACAGTAAAGGTGACACCACCTAAATTCAAACTTGATCTGTGTTTCGTAGTAATAAGCATTGCGTATAAGTTTCATAAGATTTGGTTGAAACAAACTAAAGTTAAAGAACGGAAACCAATTTCGGGACATACGTACGGATGGACAAGGGTAACACTTTATGCCCCCTCCAGTGACGGGGGGCATAAAAATGTTGTAGAATTAAAATAAAGATAAATGGATGTCTAAGCATTAAAACTGTACACTCCAAATTTTTTCAAAAGGTATATCATTTAACATTAAGACTAGAGGCTTTAAAGAGCATGTTTTAGATGCTAATGAGTATTCTAGGTCTTTGTGCACCTTGAACAATGGACACTCTCCAACATTGTAGACTAGAAAACAATTTATGACAAAAATCTTTTTTGTATTGCTGCTGATAATGTTTCATGTTTACAGTTTCTCTCTATCTTTTTTAGTTTTTGACCAAAACACTAAAATGAGTAAATAATTGTTATTTAAGGACAATAACTCCTATAAAGAGTCAATTAACAATTTCTAATAATTTGACTACTTTGTTAATCTTGTCTTGCTGACCATTTTTGCTTTAAAAAGTGTCTAGTTATCTTTTATAGTTTTCAAGATAATAGGCAAAAACAAAATATTAAAGAGCAATAAATTCAAGGAGTCAACTGACAATTTCGACCATGTTTAACTTATTTGTAAATCTTGTCTTGCTGCTCATTTTTGCTATTCAAAGTTTTATCTATCTATCATAGTTTTTAAGACAATGAACAACATCATCAACGATGAACACCAAGTGATGAGAAAAGCTCATGTGGCACTCTGGGCATGGTGAACTAAAAAGGGACATATTTTCACGTGAAAACTTCAATTAAGCCAGGTCATTTTCCTGTTTTTGTTTTGATTTTCTTTTTCAAACCTTACCTTTGTAGCCTGTACAAATGGCATGACCTTTTTCTTATATTTGTCTAATTCTTTCTTGTCCTTTAACTCTGCTGCTATTACTTTGTTATCAGGAAATCCATTGTTTTTCTAGAAAAATATATAATACTGTCAGAGTAACTGAATGCAGATGTAAACAAGTATTCTTATTCTGTAACCAAGTAGTAAAACACTGCCAAAACTGACAGGACTTCATTTCAAACAAAGTGGTATTTCTGTCTTTCATTCAAAATCCTTCATGAGTTTTTAGTGTTGTTAAGTTGCTGTCTGTTGATCAATTCTTCACTCTTTTTATTCATACTGCGGATTCATTTATTTTTCTTTTATTTATTTACCAACTTTGGTGAATGCAGGAAAATTGTATTTTTCGTGGATATTTGATTTTGTGGTGCTGCCAAAGTTTGCATATTAGCCTATAGAAAATTTGTACTTCATTGGGGAATTGTATCTCTTATTGCACAATGTTATTCTTTTGTTTGTTTGCTAGTGCATTATCTTTTCAAAAGTTTGAAATATTTCTAGAATCTACTGGATTTAAATCTAACTAACTATTCATCTATTTGCAAAATTGTTTTCATAGATTAGGAAATGAAGAGTCTTTTATGCATTGCTTCCAGAAATGACTAGTTAAAATATCACAGAATATAGTATTTTAATTCCATAAAAATTCTACAGGAAATATATAGAACTATATCAAAAAAACAAATAATACAGGTAATGAATCTAAAGTATATGAAATAGCACCCACCTCCAATGAATATGGTGTAATGATAACCATCAATAAATTACCTCATATAACGTCTTGAGAGATGTTAATACAGTGACCTGCCATGGTGGAAATGACTTGGCTATCCATACAGTTGCATGTGTTGGTTTTCCTGCTAGTTTCTTCCCCTTCCCTGGAGCTGTTAACTGCTTCAGTCTGACGCGGAAGTCATGAGCTGAGGATATTAAGTACTGTGACATCTGTATCAGTTTTTCATCTACAGGTCCTGATACTGGCCATGACTCATTCATTATACTTCCTTTATTTCCTAGAAGTCCCCAGACATATTCACAAATATGTGGACAAATGGGTGAAAGCATTAAAGTTTGTGTGCGTATAAACTTAAAGATCAGGTCAGAATTCATTCCTGTCATCTCATATTCACGATACTTATCTCTAAGTGCCTGCAATAAATTTTTATATATTCTAAAATGCTGAAGAATACTGCAGCTGCATGGTCCATTTACTATATTTTGTCATCATTACATCTGAATGTCAAGACCGAGATGGTTTGGTTATCAACCCAAATGACTGGATGTACCTGAGATTGACCCTTCTTTACACTTCCAAATGCAATAGATGATTCTATGGGGCAATATAGACAAAATTTATAGAATAACTTACAAAGTGACATATTCATTCATAAATACACATTTCATGAAGTTGATAAAAAAAATTTTTTTTCTGTGTAACACTTAGAGCTGTTCCAAAATTGTCATGGTGGGGGAATGGGAGGCTCTCAAAATTATTAATTTTGGGTGGTTGCATTTTCCTTAAAATTTTATAATAATAAATAAAATGAATTTTTTTTATTATGTGGGGTTGGGGTCTAAAAAATGTTTTTTGTTTTTTGTTTTTTGGTGCAGTGTGGTGGTCTTTTAAAAATTTTACTTCTGGTCACAATATTGACCAGTCTGTTGTCGACTTATGATTTTTTATTGCCCCTTTGGTATCTTTTTACCTTTTTTTTAATGAAAATATTCAGAATCATACAACTACATGTATTTCATTGGTATTCATTTACAGATAAAACAAAATTTAAACTACAAATTGAATATGTTTTAATTGAGATGTATGGTGAATATTTGTATAAACAAAAACCTTACTTGATACTCAAAGAATCCAGTTTTCAGGGCCTCTTTGTATAGCATTTTCTCATAGTGACCCTTAGTTTCATTTATGGCCTTGTTCATCTCACTAAAAAAGATAAGACAAGGTTTTTTTCACTGGAATAAAACAGATAAAATGTAACTGCTTTTTCGTCTGCAGAACAGTAGATGTTGCAAATCACTAGGTTGGATTCAAGCATTCTTAAAAGGGTGATTCAAGAGGGTTCACTCTGTAAAAGATAACAGGGATATTCCCTTGAACCCCCTTCTTGGATACACAAATGATATACATATCCAGTGTAAATCCACTAATGAAACTTGTGTCAGCTTAGCAAGGTACCCTTAGGTACACTTTTAAGCAATATCAATTAAGTAAAACTTGTGTGTAACTTATTCATAGAATGAAACTGATTAATCAAGCATGGATATACCGAAACAAAATTGAATAAGTGTATATTAAACACAGGCTTACAGTTAATAAATGAAGTCTGTAGTAAATAAAATAAACATGGTACCATCTGAAATAGTTCTAGTTACTGTTTGTCAGATATGTTGTTAAATCTACCTATTTTGACTGGTAGAAACACTGTTTATATTCATCAAGTAAATAAAGACTGCAATTTTTTATTCAACATATTCTAGATATGAATAAAAGGTGATGTGGGGTATATCTCAGTGAGACAGCACCATAATAACACAAAAAATATTAGAAATCAAGAGATCAACATACAGAGATCAACAATAGACAAGTTTCAGTTCTTTTTAATCTGATCCGTATCACTTATTTCTTTATTAAAAATATTCAACAAACCTGTCAAATATCTTATCACTGATGGTTAAAGTTTTAGAACTTCTCATTAATTCTGTTGTGGCCAGTATTTCCTTCACCCACTCCAGATAAGTGTACAGACGTAAAAGTCCAGCATCAGCCATCTTTTCTACAAAGTTGGCATCTTCCATTGTATCTCCAGCATCAGCCAGGGCAAGGCGCATACCTGTAAAAAGTTGCACAACATTTAGCGATACTTCTAAACTTTAAAAAAAATAAGCAAAATCTACAAGATTATTGTAAAAATATTTTCCCTCTGAATTACAATTTAACATTTTGTTTTTCGTCAAATGCTGTAAAAAAAGAGGAATGCTATGTGCACATTATCAGAACTAAACAAGCTTACTTTTTTAGAGCTTCTTATCTCATTAATCATTTATTGAGACTTCCCAGTGTCTGGAACCATTTCAAAACCCAGTTTCAGGTTCAATAGTGTTCTATGGTTTAAGGTAGGTGTACATATGGTTTAAGGTAGGTGTACATATGGTTTAATATTAATGTGTATCCTTTTTTTTAATTTTGCACAAGCAATCTTACTCTGAAGAAATTTCTCTAGACATAACAATTTTACAAAGATTTGTCAAAAGATAATTATTTTTTTTATGACTATTCTTTTTCTTTCTGTGCTAAGACATACCTGCATTTTTCTGGAAGAAGAATTTTAAAGATACTTTGTAAGGGCTGTTCCATTAAAATATAGATGGAACCCAGAGAAAGAACTTTGACTTAAACCACCTACTGTGGATTCAATATTATCTGTGGGATACCATTTTTTGGTTAAAGGTGAACCACAAATTTAACTGTTCAACGAAGTTCAAATTTCTATAGGCTTGTATGCAGACTTTGGCAAAACCATAAAATCATATATCCCCAAAAAAAACATAATTTTGCCTTAATCCAAATTGGTACTCATGAAAATAATGGCATCCACAGTATTAAGGCAATTTTAGGATTTCTTGCTCATTTTCATTGAACAAATAAGAATTTGACACACACTTATAGTTGAGATGTACGAGTGCCTTCCCATGGTTCCATGTATATATTTTTATGCAACAGTCGTCAGTAAATAATATTACCATCAGCTGAAAATTTATTTATAGCCTCCGATAATGACAGGAAATTCCCAGTGGATTTAGACATCTGAAATACAAATTTTTACATCATTAATGTTTCCTATATTATTGTTTATTTAGTTTATACATGGCATATCTTTAATTTTTCTTAATAAAAATATAAATATTGTGCTGACAACTTGAAATCCCACTGTTACAGTAGTTCTTTTATAAATATAACATTTTATTAATTAATTACACTGTTATTGGACTTAATATGATGAAAACTGCCTATGCAATATAAAGGTGTCAACTCGGCCAATATAGATTTTTTTTCTGTATTGGCCGAGTTCTGATCCGGCCAATACAGGATTTCGGAACGTCTCTAGTTTTTAGATCGAAAGTCACGATAAACACAAACTGAAAGTAAACAGTTGTTTGGAAGACGCAGTTTTCATTTACTCACCATAAACATGCTGAAACGTTCAGTATGGCAATATATTTCAGGCTAAAGACGGTCACATTCATTTAAAAAGCATTTTGAAAGCAGACGATGGAATTATTTCAGGTTTGGGGAACGAGTAGATTATCACAAAGTTCATTTCTTGTCGACCTCATAATTTCACGATGGTACAAATCGATTTACTGTTTACTTTCGCTTCTCATGTTTTGTAAACTGTCATTTATTTATAAACCCGAACCAGGCATATGCATTCTGGAAGGGTGACCTATAATTGTGCAAATCTTCGTTCTTTGGTCAGTTGGCTTATGGATAGTTGTATCATTTTCAACCCCTACATTATTTTTTTTTTTAAATATATTCAATTTGTTTCTACATAACACATGCAATGGCAGTACCTTTCCAATTACTATTTATGTGTTGTGTCTAAATTTAAATTGTAACACTTTATAGTGACTGGAAAGGGTAGAAAAATTCATCAGATGAGAAAATGCTGAAGACACCTGGAAACGGCACCAGATCATTAGATATTGCATCTTATAAAAAGAAACTGAGATTTGGATAGTTCCACTTCAAGGTAAAAATGTTTATCTCTTGTGAAATGAAATAAAAAAAATATTGTAACACTGTAGTTAATTAATAAAGATACTATTACGTGTATTTCTGTATTGGCCTTGTTATTGGTCCTCGGCCAGCTGTATTGGCCGTCGGCTTCGCCTCAGGCCAATACAGCAAGCCTCGGACCAATAACAAGGCCAATACAGAAATACTCACGTAATAATATCATATTATTATGTATGTTTGAGAGTATATATTATGAGACATGTAAATGTTGTGAAATCGACATTAGCTCTGCAGTATTTGAATATTATAACATAATATAGTATTTTTATCATGAGTTAACAAAACCACACAATTTCATAACGCCTGATTGTAATGGCTTTATGATATCCATGAATAAACAGACCTTTCATTGTAGTTAATAATTGACATAAGATACATATTAAACTTTTAATTTAATACTTCAACTAAAATTGCTATGGAAATATTTCCATTCACAAGAATCAGTTGGTGTTAGTGAGGGTATTTTAATTTTTGGGAGGTGAACTGTCCCTTTGTATAAATGCAATACCTATTAATCTCTGTGGAGTTTAGTCGATAAAAAATTTTAATTTTTCATTGAAAGGCCTATCTTTCATTGATTAATTAGTTAATCTGTAAAATGAGGTTTTTTTTGCAGTTTTTGCAATTTTTTCACCAAATGCAAGAAGTTTGAAGCCTGAATGCAAATATGTAACACAAAATTTTAAATATAAATACTGTTGATTAATAGCATAATGTCTTATAAACATCCGAAGCATCTCATTTGGAAGATTCAAAATTATTTATGATTTTCGAATTCAGGGGGTAAAAAAAGTGACACAAACCTTGTCCTATAAAGTTCCCATTGAACTCCAGATACCTATTGTGTCAATTCAATGAGACAGTTCACCTTCCAAGAATTTTAAATACCATAGCCAAAACCAACTTATTCTCATGGAAGGTGTTATTTTCTTTGCAATTAATCAGAAAATACAACTGTCAATAAATTTACTTTCCAATCCATGGAAATATTCATACATGACTAATGTGTTGCAACAAAACCTCACATTCCATATTACTTCAGGAGTTTTGTTCATCATTCATATACTAAACGTAAAATCACTATTATATCTGCATTGATTTTTCAAACATCAATTGCTTTTGTATGCAACTAAAAAGAAAAGGTCAAACTAAGATCTGTAACTTACCTTCTCTGAGTTCAGCAATATATGACCATTAGCTCTTATACTTTTTGGCCACTTTGAACTGAAATAAATATCTATTTTTCTTCAATAATACTTTAAACTCAACAGTGCCATTTAATACAGATTTTCCTTTTCAATAATTTTTCCAAATCATACAAAAGAAGGACAAAAATCAAATATTAGTAAACAATTTTATAATACATCCTGATTAAGCAATACATTAAAATAAATGTGGTGTACAGACAAACAGGCAATATCTTCAAATCGCGATATCAAAAATATATCAAGTAAATTTTTTTTATGGCGGCTACCTCATTTTTAAAGTCTAGAAGTAGCATCTATTATAAAGTGTTTGGTTTTGGACAAATTCAAATTAAATATCTCTGCCATGAGAATCATGATACAACGTTACTATGTTGACAGGTTTTTTTAAAGCTAACTTTTCACTGGCAATGGGTATTACTGAACTTGTATTTGTCCTGAGTATGCCTGCAATACTGCCATTTAATGTTAAGTAACCTAAAAGTTCATCTCTTTGCATAATAAATAAATATTTCCTCCTCATATTATACCTAATACCTACCTATCATTTGGCCAGATGGCACAATGGTTATATATGTAATATGTCAGATGGTTAGGAACCAGATCTTTCCCTGACACTCTGAGGTCAACAGGATACCAGTATTCAAATTCCTTTTTCAGTTTATCCAGCACATTCCTTGGTATCTTTGTGGATTTTGGAAACTGAACTCCTTTGAAGAAAATATAATCCCATATTTCTGGTGTCATTTGTTCTGGCCTGAAAAAAGTGTAGAGGAAATTATAAAGATTGAATAATTGCATATGGGCAAATTTCTTTCAATCACAAATTATTCACAATTTTGTTAAAAACTAGATCTTCAGTTTTTGGATGAGCAAACTTGGTTTATGTTTAAAGAATTAAACTTCTTTCTGCTTACTATAATTATTATCTTAAAAACTGAAACCTCGCTGCGATATAGAATTTTTGTGCTGAGGCAGTGAAAAGCAAACACTAATAAAAAATAACTGAAACCAAGTACCGTAAATTTAGAAATTGTTGTGAGGTTTTTATTAATGTGAATAAACTGGGTGAGTATCTTAATAATAAGAAGTTGCATTCTGATATATGATAAATATATCTGTATGCAAATTTTCCTGAAATCTCATAATTAATCTCAATTTTTGTCAATTCTTCTAAAATCCCTATTATAAATGCACACAACAATTTCTGAATTTACAGTAATAAAAGAGGAGTCATTATTTACAACTTCAATTTGTAATCAAATGCATGTGGTTAATTTGGTTTAAACGTTTTGCAATACTATAGATTACTTGGTAAAAATATTTTATAATATACATGACTGTGGATTCATTTATTTTAATAGGTATCAATTTTCGTGGATTGAAGAAAAATTGATTTTTTTCGTGGATATTTGATTTTATGCTTTTCCCAAGGTCTGCATAGAAGCCTATAGGTTGCACTTTGAAAAAAACAGCTGTTTCACAAATCATGCCTCTTTTGGGGAGATATATAATATTCATAGATATTTTGTTTTGTATATCATACTGCTTCCCGGATATGATCTCTATGTTGCATCTCATAGAGACATAACTTGGGAATGTTACCAGTATAAATAAACATGGATAGCGGCCAAATTGAATTCTGAGGAAGACCCAAAGAGAAGGGAGGGGTAGTACAGAATTTTAGTATAAGTTTAGAGGTTCAGGGTATATAGATGTTGAAAATATGCCGCACAGCCCTATGTTTTGACCTTTGAAAAAAATTGTAGTGCATATGAACTTTTCATTCTAGGATATATTTATTTACGAAACTTCATAGTAAAAGTGGCACAGTTTTAGCTGTAAAAGGAGTTCCTATGGGAAATTGCATTGTCTATATTTACAGAAGTACAACCTATAGAAAGTTTGTATTTTGTTGAACATTTAAATTTGTGGTTCACCTTTACCCATGAAATCCACAAAAATCAGTATTCCAAGAATAATAATGAATTCACAGTACATAATTAAAAACAAATGTCAAATTTTTAATTTTCTACTTACTTAATACCAACAGGACTGGGTGACTTTCCATCAAAGACTCCACCTTGTAACAGATGTGCTATTGTGTAATAGGCCATATATATTGTAGAGTCTGACAGAGATTCAATCAGGTACTGCTCATCCCATGGTAATTTAGTACCTACAATTTATAAAATAAACTACACTTTGAACTTGACATGTCATATTTTAAAGAACTTTATTTAAGGCTTGACATGTACATCTAACATTCAAAGGAACTAGTATGAGTCAGGAGATTGAAATTAAGTGGTTATCGTTGGTAGCTGTCTATCATATTTGTTTTTAGTTTATTGTTATGTACATAAATCCGGTCATTGGTTTTCACGTTTAATTTGTTTTACATTTTGTCATGTCTTACTATGCGGTATGAGTTTTGCCCATTGTTGAAGGCAATAAAGTGACATACAGTTACTTACATCTATATCCTTTGGTCTCTGCACGGTTGGTAGTTGTTTCATTGGCAATCATACCACATCTTCTTATTTCCATAGTGACATCTGAACATTTATGTTTCAGTCTTCATTTATGATAATTATCCACTGCTAAGGCAAATTTAAAACAAGCATTCTGTGGGTATTGCATGGCAATACATAGTCCCCTACTGGTTAAAAATTCATTGTACCGGAACAAAATGCTAACTTGATCTATAACTTGTCATGGTGTAAACTATATAACAAATATCAAGTCAACATCTTCAAGCATGACGGAAAAAAGTGTGGAAAACTGATTTTTGAGTAAATTTTCTAAGTCCAAGGGCCATAACTCTGGACAACATCATCAGACTGAAACAAAATTCGTACGTGATCAGTAAATTGTCATGATAAAACTATATATCAAATATCAAATCAATATCTTCAAGCACGAAGAAAAAAAGTGTGGAAAACTGATTTGCCGGACTGACAGATGGACAGACAGACGGACAGAGTGCAAACCTAAAGTCCCCTTCAACTTTGTCGGTAGGGGACTAACAAGGAAAGAGAAAAAAACTTCACTGCAAATTATTTTTTAAATTTTCAAATAAGAGTTGAATACATAATTCATCCATATATATATATATATATATATATATATACCTCTATTTCAAATCTGCAAGTTTCAGGCATATTAAGGTAACCTTGTAGACGATAAGCGCGTCTGGCGCAAATACAAAATTTCAATCCTGGTATCTATGATGAGTTTATTTCCACCTATCTAACTTATAAGTCAGGCATTTTCGTATAAACAGTCAACACACACAAGTTGATGTGACAAGTTTAATAAAATAGTTTATATGAGCAGTTATGTTCATGTAAAAAAATCAACCAATCAAGACGATAAGTCCTAAAGTAGGCTTGACTTTGAAGTTATTTCACCTGTATGGTCCATAAGTCATAAGAAACAGAGGAGACCTGTTTATGTTACCAGTCTGTTTACTTGGAGCAGGTATATTCAAGTGACAAGTCCACCAACCTAGTCCATAAGTCCTAAAGCAGGCATGTTAAGTAACCAATCCAACTACCTAGTCTGTAGGTCTTGTAACAAGCATGTTCATGTTAACAGTCAACCTACCTGGTCCATGGGCCCTGGCCATGTAAACAGTCCACCTATCTAGTCTTTTGTCCTAGAGCCAGGAAGCTCATGTTATCAGTCTACCTATCTAGTATTTATGTCTTAGAGCCAAGAAGCTCACGCTAACAGTCCACCTATCTAGTATTTATGTCCTAGAGACAGGAAGCTCAAGCTAATAGTCCACCTATCTAGTCTTTATGTTCTAGAGCCGGGAAGCTCATGCTAACAGTCAACCTACCTAGTCCATAGGTCCTAGAGCAAGCATGCTCATGTAACCAATCTAGAGTTGACAGGAAGTTACGTCTACAATCTTCTGAGTAAGTGTCAATATTACTTAAAGCCTTGGTAGCTAATTCTCTCCATGTCTTCTCACCATATTCCAAGTACCTGAAAACAATACCATATTTGAAAAATTTCTTATAATCAAGTTAAATGTTTCAAATTGAAAATTATCAACCTATCAAGATAAATTTTCTATTTATGCATCTTGTTATTCTAAATTTGATGTACTACTGTTTACTTTATTCTAATAGAACCACATGTAGAATTAGCTTTAAATGATATTTATCCAAGTAACACCATTTTCAATGTACTTGTTGATACATATTTTTTTTTTTTATATAGAAAACAATCTATAAGTCAGACATAATCAAAATGTATTTCATAACTGAACTGGTATCATAGAAGTTTTTTTTCTTTGACCAAGAAAAAAGCTTAAGAACCATTTGTATGACCTTGAATTTTCAGCTTTTGATAAAATTAACATAATTAGCACATAAACCTTACCACTGATCACAGAGAGCCACAACACATTCATCTGCTGATCTGGACATCACCTGTTTCTCTGGTTCAAAATATATAACTGCTTCTCCCTACAACAATTAGTATTGATTTTAACAGAGTTTGAAGTGTAAAAAAAATCATACAGAATTCATTCAAAAAAGCCTTTAAACTGCATGAAAAAAATCATAACCATCTTACTAAATGCACACAAATGAGGAAAAAGGGAAACAATATATGTACATTCTTTATTACTTCACGCATAATCTACTATGAAATGTCGTTTTTTGAATCTAGACTCATAGCATGGTTTTTCAGTAAAGGTATAATATTTTAAAACACATAGTGTTGCTTTTTAAAGTTTTACTGTGACAGTGTGTGGATAAATGAAAATTTTGTACCAAAATGACAGAGACCAGGAGGCCAAGGAAAACATATCATAAATGTATTATACATTTCTGATGTTTTATTAAATTTTATTCATTGCAAATGCAACAGATAAAATATTTAGCAACCTAAATCTCCCTCTCAATATATTTGTTTTTACCGTTTCTGTAAACTCCGATATTCCAAAGACTTGCAAATAACATAGGGTTTCAATACCATTATTTAAGTTCTAAAAAGCAAGGCAACAAAATGTACAACATCGGTAGTAAAATAACTTCTTATTGATTATAGTATCAACAATACTTACAGCATCGACCATTTTCTTCTGTATTGGTTTCTTTACAGCTTGAACTTGTTGACCTTTGTATTCTGGAACTGTCATAATCTTAAATAAAGTAGAAAGCATTGTATTTAGAAGGGATGAAATTTAGTTGTAAAGAAATTTCACAGTAAACACAAACAAATTGCACAATGAAAATAATTTTAGGCTTGTACGGCTTGTACAATAGAATAAATAAATATGCTTTTTTTTCTCCTGTTAAAATCATTAATTGTAGCATATAAATTATAGGATATGCCAAAACATACTAACAGCGCCTGGTGATGATTCCTAGCATGACCTGTTTCGGTCCTTCAGGACCTTCTTCAGAGGCAGAGTGATGGATTAATAGTTGCACCATATTTATATAGATCTAGTTGGCCTCTGAAGAATCGAAACCAGTCAGGCTAGGAACCATCACCAGGCGCTGTTAATTATGTGTTTTGGCATATCCCATATTTTATATGCTACATATCTTTTATCCACTGATTCACATAATTAATATGGCTTCCAATAACTAAAGTTCCATTTGGAGCTACTGTGTTTAGAGACCTCTTATGCCAGCACACCATCACTATATTACTACTTTTAAAATCATTAATTGCTTTAAAAGTAATTCAGGTTTTTATGCTTTAAAGAGGCATTAGCTGTCAAATTCATGTTCACCAATTTGACTCAAATTCTCATATTTGATTTATAACATACTAAAACGTATATCCAAATTACAATAAAATGCTCCGCAGGGCGCAGCTTGATACGACCGCAGAGGTCGAACCCTGAACAGTTGGGGCAAGTATGGACACAACATTCAAGCTTGATACAGCTCTGAATTTGGATTGTGATTAAATATTTGACACAGCATAGGTTTCTGACACAGAATGAATGTGGTCTAAGAACTTAAAAATTTTAAATTCGACATTCAACTATTATGGTCTAATATCCAAAATCTAAATACATGGTTAGATTCAGCATATCAAAGAACCCCAAGAATTCAATTTTTGATGAAATCAAACAAAGTTTAATTTTGGACCCTTTTGACCTCAATGTGGACAAAGTTGATAATGGGGCCCAAAAATCAAAAATCTAAATACATGGTTAGATTCAGCATATCAAAGAACCCCATATATTCAATTTCTGTTGAAATCAAACAAAGTTTAATTTTGGACCCCGATTTGGACCAACTTGAACACTGGGCCCATAATCAAAAATCTAAATACATGTTTAGATTCAGCATATCAAAGAATCCTAAGAATTCAATTTTTGTTAAAATCAAACTAAGTTTAATTTTGGACCCTTTGGACCTTAATGTAGACCAATTTGAAAACAGAACCAAAAATTAAGAATCTAAATACACGGTTAGATTCGGCATATCAAAGAACCCCAATAATTCAATTTTTGATGAAATCAAACAAAGTTTATTTTTGGACCCTTTGGACCTCAATGTGGACCAATTTAAAAACGCGGCCCAAAATCCAAAAACTTAATACACGGTTAGAATCAGCATATTAAAGAACCCCAAGAATTCAAGAATAAAACCCCATTGAAATTGGTCAAGAAATAAGCAATTTATACGAAGTATCTTCTTTTGTACAATACTGTGCAATTGAATATTTCTTGCTATTGCGCAATACTGTACAATTGACAATTTCTTGCTATTGCGCAATATTGTGCTATTGGATATTTCTTGCTATTGCACAATACTGTGCAATTGAAGATTTCTTGCTATTGCGCAATACTGTGCAATTGAAGATTTCTTGCTATTGTGCAATACTGTGCAATTGAAAATTTCTTGCTATTGCACAATACTTATTTTATAATAATTTACACATCCTGTTTGGTGTGTATCTCCTACCATATCGTTATTATTTGCTTTTAAATATAAAACAGAAATAACCAACTTAAAATGGAAAATTTTAAAAGAAAAAAAAAATGAAAAAAAAAAAAATCCCCCCCCCCCCCCAAATTTTTTGAACCCCCTTATGATTCATCATCCCCAAACTCAATCCCAGCCTTCCCATTGTGGTATGGTACCTTGCAGTACAATTTCAGAGAGATCCATACACTTGAACACAAGTTATTGTCTGGAAACTAGAAAAATGCTTATTTTTGGCCCCTTTTTCCTAAACGTTTTGGGCAATTACCCCCAAAATAAATCCCAGCATTCCCTGTGTGATATGGAACCTTGTGGTACAATTTCAGAGAGATCTATACACTTGAACACAAGTTATTGTCTGGAAACTAGAAAAATGTTTATTTTTGGCCCCTTTTTGACCCCTTATTCCTAAACGTTTTGGGCAATTACCCCCAAACTCAATTCCAGCTTTCCCTTTGTGATATGGAACCTTGTAGTACAACTTCAGAAAGATCCATACACTTACACACAAGTTATTGTCATGAAACTAAAAAAATGCTTGTTTTTTGCCCCTTTTTTGGCCCCTAATTCCTAATATTTTGAGGCAATTACCCCCAAAATTAATCCCAGCATTCCCTGTGTGATATGGAACCTTGTGGTACAATGTCAGAGAGATCCATACACTAACACACAAGTTATGTCTGGAAGTTACAAAAATGCTTATTTTTGGCCCCTTTTTGGCCCCTAATTCCTTAACTGTTGGTACCATAACCCCCAAAATCAATCCCAACCTTCCTTTTGTGGTATTGAACCTTATGGTAAAATTTCATAGAGATCCATTCACTTAAACTAAAGTTAGAGTGCGAAAACCAATGTGTCTTCGGACGATGCCGGACGACGCCAGACGACGACGACGACGAGGACGACGACGCCAACGTCATACCAATATAAGACCGCAAAAATTTTTTGCGGTCGTATAAAAAGTCTAAAATTAACAATTAACAATGCATGGACTTGATAATAAGTATCAACATTTCATGTGTATTTTTGTCTAGACATCATCTAATTAACCATTGAGATGACCTCCGAAGACTGCCGACGGTCATATAACCTGATATAAACATAAATATAAATATAAACAGATAGTGACCACGTGCAATTGGATTATTCTAGGTTTGTTTGATTTCATATTGTAGGTTAAAAAGTAAGTTTATCATTGTTTTTTCCTGTACAAGAATGATTTTTTGTGGATCCAATCAGCCAACCAAATGATTCATCCTTGTTACACTTTCAATGTTGACATTGTTTTTCCTTTTAATAGCTGAATACATGCTTAACCCATCTCCAGCTAAGGGGTTAAATCGAAGGTCACATGAATAAGGATTCAATGAGGTAGAACTATTCACTTGCACGTGAATAATTCATCAGCGATGTTTCTTTGACAAAATTGAACTAAATTGGCTGCTAAAAGCAAATTATTACTTCACTTTATAACTTTCATTAATGATTGAACAAAAAAAAAATCATATTTTTATTTTTTTATATATCTCGTAGCTAAATGCCCTCTAAGTTTTGCAGTATTAAAATAAAAATTATTTCACTGGAATAAGATGTATTGCCCTGCTTTTATTAAGTTATATTCATTGTAAAGAGGGTGGTAAAGGGTTATTTTCGTGCAACGTGATCGCCGTTTTTTATTTCACGTTCAACGTGTTTTTACTTTTTTATTTGACGTTCAGTCGTGCAAGACAGGTGCCTCGTTCAACGTGTTCTGCTTATTTAATTTTACGTGCATCGTGATTTTCAAATGCTTATTTTGCGTGCTCGGTATTTTTCAAATAAAATTCAAACACTTGGCAGGGATCTAAGAAACAACTTTACATAATGACTTCATATTAAGTTCAAATCTGAAATGTTTTTAACTTGTGAACTAGTTTTGGATCTCCTAGATTCATGCTACCTCATTGCTAATTCTTTGAATTTTTTGGTAAAATGAAAAGAATGACTTTAAATCGACATCTTAACAGTGATGAGCTTTAACGTGTTTGCACTTTCCATCATCTGTCAGTTCAAACTTCCTATTTCTGATACTTTCAACCATGAGTCGTGGTAGCTGGTGGCACGGATAACATGACAACGTGTGTATTCTTGTTAATAAAGACAGTGAAATAGATCAAGAATACACTTTCGTGTCTGCGGGATATTTGCATTTTAAAAGTTAAGAAGACTGTTATATACTTTTTTTAAAAGCCGTAAACCATTTATATCATAAATGTGTATACTAAATCGGGAATATCAAGTAAAACAGAGAGTTCATATATACAAGAAAACAGTGACTCAGTCACAAAAGGTTCACATCAAAGTCTTTATTTTTCGTGCAACGTTTATGACAGAAATTATTTCACGTTCAACGTGAAATTATGTCTTATTTCACGTTTTTTCCGTGCAAGCACCCCCCCTTTACCACCCTCTGTAAATGCTTGAAATAAAATATTTCAGAAACCTAAATCTCCATCTCAATACATTTGGTTTTTACTCTTTTCTGTCAACTCTATTATTCCAAAGACTAGATCTCTGTTATTTTGAACTGGATTTTATTGGTTTCACACCCTTTCATACATAGAATGGCTTTTTTAAAAATAGACCTTTTCCATGGTCCCTTATGTAAGTCTCTTAATTCTTCGTTTCATTTTATTAGTGACTTACCCCTTCATAGAACCCCTTTAGATAGACCTTTTCCTTTGCCTCCTGAAGCTGGTCTCGGTCATTTTGGCTCTGAATTTTCATTTGCTCACACACTGTCACAGCACACAAATTACCAAATTCAGGGACATCAATAATAGGCACCTGTATATAAAACAATCAAGATATACATTTTTATAATGTTGCTAAAAGCAAGAAAGCATTACCTGTCCCTATTTAAATAAAATTCCTTAAGTGAATACATCCAAATTTCATCAAACAAATGATCTATAATACTATCTATTTGACAGTCTGATCTAGTAACACATAATGTGAATCTCAAATTGTAACAGTTATGTTACAGAAACAATTACTAAACATGACCATATTTGACCATAACAGGTTCCTGAAACACACTTTAAAAATGTAGATCCAAGAAAAAAGGATAAATATCTTATACAATAAACTGCAAATGTTTAATTTTTTATGCACTTACATGTATTTTAACAATAAAACATAATGATTATCACTATTATAGGTTTCATCAACAGATTTTTAAACGAGTAATAAAGACAGGTATAACTAATGGACCAAGTACTGGTGACCATTCCAAAACACCAAAGTTCATCCACAGTTGTTGACGGGGTTCGTGTTGCTCAATCTTTATTTTTTTATGTAGTTTTTGTGAACTTTTGTCTTTTTTCTTTGGGCCATGGTGTTCCTCAGTGTTGTGGGGTTTTTATTGCTCTATTAGTATCTTCTCCCTTATGTAAATGTCATCATATTTTCTATGTTTCTTGAATTTTGTAATTATATCTATTTCTGTGAATCTTGGAAAAGTTCATTCTGAAAGTTAAACTGCATACAACACATTTTGTCTACCAAAACAAACTGTTTAAATAACTGTCCACATATAAACTTTCATTGTAAATTTAAAAGTTCAAAATGTTGTTGAATGTGTGATGCCTAGCTGAGAACAAAATAAATGTCTACTTACAGGGTCATAAGGTAAAACCATTTCATCTTTTAATCCATATTTTTCCCTAAATGGCTGAAAACAAAGAAAATAATATCAATACTATGTAGTCTGCTCAATATTTAATTTTTCTTTTTTTTGACATACAAAAGTAGTCACAAATTATTTGCAAGATAAAGACTAATACCTTTTCCCCAGATTTTGACATAAAATAATATTAAACATAATTTGATTGATTGGTGTTTAACGCCACTTTCAGCACTATTGGCTATTTCATGTCGCCTAGAGAGAACCACCAACCATCTGCAGGAAAATTGACAATCCTAGACAATTTAGATTGGAGTCATACTTAGACCACTCTGCCACCAAGGCCCCTATTATACATGTAATTTTAACGACTATACTTATAGGTAAAATTGGAGCTCTACTTTCTGAAAAGACAGATGTTAAAATATCTCCTTCACCAATGTTCTTGTCATGTTTTAAGTTTCAAGTGTTATCAAATGAAAAAATATAAATGAAGGAAATAAAAACATTTAAATGATATTTCTTTCTCAATAGCATGAAATTATGAGAATACTTAGGTTACATATATTGATTATCTATAAACATTTCCCAAGAGAATTATAACCATATTTCAACATACAATCATCACCTAACCACTATCATTTATATTGCATTATACATTATTTTTCTGTGGTCACTATACCTGTTTATTTTTTAAATCTCTGAGAGCAGCAAAATCATCAGGGGCATCTGATGGGACACTGGTCACTACACCTGTACCTGTAATATACAAGAAACATTTTTTTAATATAAGATTGTAAAACAGCAGGATAGTGACCACTATGTAGCACAAGTTAATAAAACAAAATAATAGTACTATCAACTCTTCCTTGAATAATAGGTAGTATAAAATATCATAACCAATTTTTTTTTTTTTTTTTTCCTAAATTGAAATGATAAATTGTCAACTTCTGTATATTAATAATGTTGGATGGTAGTCACATTGAAATTTAACCCCTTTCTTTTATTCATACCAAGGATTTTTATCATAAACACAATACACATGTTAATGTGAAGTCTCACTATTCAGTCTTACCTTTATCTTCTTTAATGGTTAACATCGGCAGGGTATAAATCTTCTTATAGGATGTTAGTGGTCCTGACAGGGCTACTCCCATTATATCCTATCAAATAAACACCATAAAGGCATGAAACACAGAAATATCTTGCCTGCTATTACAGATCTAGACAACTTTTAAAGAAGCTATATCTGAATTAAGTGTCAATGTAGAAATAATTCAGTTGGAAGATCTCTTCATATCTATTGGATGCACGCGGGGTCATGTGACACTTGTCAAACAGACTGACACTATAACATGCAATAACCTATATACCAAACAGTCTTATCTTAAATAAAGTTACAGAAAACAAACACAAATTGATCCTTTCAAATTTAAACCATTCTTTTGCTTTTCCTTCCTTTCTAACAATTTAAGTTTACTGTTTGTGCCATACATGTGTATATGCGTGTAATCAGTATGCATTTATTTGACATAAAATATTGTAAAAAGAGCATGAAAATGTTACATGTGCCCCCAAAATATGGACATCTCAAAATTAACCTGATTATTTATCAAAAAAATTAACATAATTTTGAAAGGCTTGATAATCGTTTTACTTTTTTGCAATTTCACAGGTATTTATAATACTACACTTAAATTAGTTTTGTCAGTCCTTTGTATAGATACTCATAAACATGCAATATCTTTTTCAATATTATTACCTGTCCAACCAGCTCAACCAGAACATTAATCTTCCCATCTTCCTTTGTAAAACCCTGATATGCCATATTTCTTGCTGACCTCCTGGTACAAACAAACACATCACCATTCTTCAGTTCATGGGCTATATATTTCATGTCAGGTCTAACCCAGATGTTTGTCTGTCCAAACATGGTTTCTGGTCTTAAAGTGGCTGCTACTAGATATATGTTCTTAGCTTTCAGCTTACTAAAGAAAAAATGTTAAAATTGAAAGTTGATTATATTTGCTGCCAAAAGTGAGTAAATTGTTTATATATAGATTCTTACATTGATACCAGTGGATTATCGGATTTATCCAATCGAGATAGTTAAATTATCAATTTTAAAGTCTGAGCCTTGGCGAGGACTTTAAAATCTATAATTTAACTATCGAGATTGGATAAATCCGATAATTCACGAGTAACTATGTAAGAATCTGTTTCTCTAATGATTATAAAATACATTTTCATTTTTTGTTAAACCAAAACCCCCTTCGAGTGCCTTCCACATTTCACAAAGTTGTCAATTTCATTAACACCTGTTAGCATATTTTGAGCTGATAAAGGTTATGACCCTTAAATTCATCCAATCATCTTCTGAGATCACCGGCAACCACACGTTGATTAAATTTTTTTTATACAATGATTGCAGAAAGGTATAAATTGTCAAAGAATTAGAGAAATATGTATATCGAGCTTTAATTTGATAATGCATTTATTTTATATATCTTCTCCTGTACTCAACTAAGCTTTACAAAAGTGTGGTTGATTTATAGTTTAATGGCACATGCAATTCAGTAATGGTAGCTTTACAAGGCTCCACTTTTGGCACTGCCAGCATAGATGAACTAGGTTTTATTTATTTGCTGTTTTAACAACAAATACAATGATCATCTAATTATGATCTATTTGTTTGCCAAACAGGCAAATTCACGAAAAAAGTTTGATGCCAATGCATTAACCAAGTTGCAGGAAAATTAATGCTTTTTACAGTAAAAGGCTGCTTTTTTATTTGGACAAGCTGAAATTCAGCTTATATTCAAGATAAATAAGCCTGTTATATAAGAAGACAACTGAGGCAGTTTAAGAGATACAAGCCGTTTTCATAGAATCAAGATGATATGGAGCACCTGTCCTGCTTATTAGTCTTAGTTTAATTCCTCGTCCATGTTTTTCACCATAAATTGCATTAATTGCACTGCTTGAAAGTGAATGTTAGTAAATTGCTTAATAGTTCAACAGATATCAAGTATACTTCCATATTTTTGAGGACCCTTTTGACAGAAATGTATGTGAAAATGCTATTTGAAGGCATGTATAAAAATGAATACATAATTGCAATCTAAGTTTCTGAAAGGTATTACAGTTTGAAACCTGAATAAAAAAAACTGATTTATTACAAATAGTACATCATACATTTAAGCAATAAAAAAATGTGTACCAGACGAAGGGAACAACAAGCTTACCTGAATTTCTGTGGGTATGGTTCTAACACTTTAAGTTTTATTAATGTATATTCTTGTGGACCAACACCCTGAAAAAAAGAGAGAAAGTAAAATACTGTATATTAAGAATTTTTTGCAATGATTTTATAATGGTGAAAACTATGATTGAATAGGTGTTGCAAAAAGAAAAACTTGCATTAAAAATCTTGAAAGCATTATATGTAGGCAGCATTCCATAAAATCGCAATATTTAAATAACTTATATTTGCAATTTATAAATTTTTCAACAATCGCAAAAGCACTTAAAAATTACTGTATTTAAAGTATTGGAAATGATATTCTGATCACCCAGGATCACTATGTCCTGCTTCAGCAACATGTTGCATGCTGGACAAAAACATAATAATAAATTAATTTTTTTCTGAAAAACATTTGTAAAATTTTAGACTTCATGAAAATGTTTTATAACAATGTTGTGATTCTTTTTGTGGATGCCTAAAAACTGGCAGATGATAAATCAGTAACATTTCAACTCCAAATTAATTGATAGTTTAACAATCAATTAATTTGGAGTTGATATTTGATATTTTTACATGGCAGGATTCTTAATGGCATATCAAAGGTTTGAAAATGGTCGCAAAATCAGGATGGCGAGCTAATGAATAAAAATTCACCAAAAATGCCACCTATGGGAGTGTTATATAACATCTATATACAAGCAGCAGTGGACCAGATGTTTTTCACTTCATACCAAACCTAAGCACACGCAACAAGTACAATGCATAAACATTACACCGGAAGGAAAGGAAAGCAGTATGCTGTGAATCAATTTATTTTTGTGGAAATTTTAAGGAAAACGTACTATTTTGGTAGGTTTTAACAAATTTGGAGTACAAGCATAAAGGAAATTTGAATTAGTTTAACACTTAACTTGGTGGTTAACCTTTCTATTTAGAATCCACATAATTAGAACTCATATAATAAGGAATTTTAATTATCTCTTGTTACAAACTAACCTCCCCTGTACTTCTATCATGGTCCATACAAGGTTGTCCATCTTTAGGTGAAAATATAGTGTGCCTATAAATATAAAAATAACACTAATCCTAACTTATTGTAATAAACTATGTAATGCATATCTGATGTGGATCATGTCTAAAAGCATCTTTTTAAAATAAATTTTAGTTGTCATACAGTATTCTATCTGTATTAATAGATTTTTTTATACTTTAATCATATAAAGAGAAATGTTTCTGTTTGAACATGAATTAATTCTGTGGTTTAATCTTTGATATTTTCTACCACTAAATTTCTTAAAGAAAAAATGACCAACACATCTTCAATCTACTTTTATTGTTTCTAAGGTTTTACTGTTCTTTTTTCTTTTCAGTCTTACTGATCTTTTCTTTTTCTTTTTACAGTAAATATGTAAGAAACTAAATACCATGTAACTAATTTCGCTCTATCAACATAATAAATGGATTTCAGTGTCCGTCAGAAGTAAGATTTAGGCACAATTTTGAAAAATCTAGTGAACAGGGTTGTTTAAAAACAGACGAAAATGAAAATTTTGATACAAAATATGAGGTTGCTGGTTATGTCTGACAGGGTAATTCGAAACAGTGCAAACAAATCACAAAAAATTTGTTAACTTATAATGGCCAGAAAAGCAAGGAGGGTATACCTATAGATGTTGAAAGTCAGATTCTACTTTAATACTATGTTATGTTTCAGATTACTTGGACAAACTTATTTACAATGTGTCTTAATGTCCAATATATAGAATAAAATGCTCCGCAGGGCGCAGCTTGATACGACCGCAGAGGTCGAACCCTGAACAGTTGGGGCAAGTATGGACACAACATTCAAGCTTGATACAGGTCTGAATTTGGATTGTGATTAAATATTTGACACAGCATAGGTTTCTGACACAGAATGAATGTGGTCTAAGAACTTAAAAATTTTAAATTGGACATTCACCTATTATGGTCCAATATCCAAAATCTAAATACATGGTTAGATTCAGCATATCAAAGAACCCCAAGAATTCAATTTTTGATGAAATCAAACAAAGTTTTATTTTAGACCCTTTTGACCTCAATGTGGACATAGTTGATAACGGGGCCCAAAAATCAAAAATCTAAATACATGGTTAGATTCAGCATATCAAAGAACCCCATATATTCAATTTTTGTTGAAATCAAACAAAGTTTAATTTTGGACCCCGATTTGGACCAACTTGAAAACTGGGCCCATAATCAAAAATCTAAATACATGTTTAGATTCAGCATATCAAAGAACCCTAAAAATTCAATTTTTGTTAAAATCAAACTAAGTTTAATTTTGGACCCTTTGGACCTTAATGTAGACCAATTTGAAAAAACGGAACCAAAAATTAAGAATCTAAATACACGATTAGATTCGGCATAACAAAGAACCCCAATAATTCAATTTTTGATGAAATCAAACAAAGTTAAATTTTGGACCCTTTGGACCTCAATGTGGACCAATTTAAAAACGGGGCCCAAAATCCAAAAACTTAATACACGGTAAGATTCAGCATATTAAAGAACCCCAAGAATTCAAGAATAAAACCCCATTGAAATTGATCAAGAAATAAGCAATTTATACGAAGTATCTTCTTTTGCACAATACTGTGCAATTGAATATTTCTTGCTATTGCGCAATACTGTACTGTACAATTGACAATTTCTTGCTATTGCGCAATATTGTACTATTGGATATTTCTTGCTATTGCGCAATACTGTGCAATTGAAGATTTCTTGCTATTGCGCAATACTGTGCAATTGAAGATTTCTTGCTATTGTGCAATACTGTGGAATTGAAAATTTCTTGCTATTGCACAATACTTATTATATAATAATTTACACATCCTGTTTGGTGTGTATCTCCTACCATATCATTATTATTTGCTTTTAAATATAAATCAGAAATAACCAACTTAAAATGGAAAATTTTAAAAGAAACAAAAAAAAAACCCACCCCCCAAATTTTTTGAACCCCCTTATGATTCATCACCCCCAAACTCAATCCCAGCCTTCCCTTTGTGGTATGGTACCTTGCAGTACAATTTCAGAGAGATCCATACACTTGAACACAAGTTATTGTCTGGAAACTAGAAAAATGCTTATTTTTGGCCCCTTTTTGGCCCCCAATTCCTAAACGTTTAGGGCAATTACCCCCAAACTCAATTCCAGCTTTCCCTTTGTGATATGGAACCTTGTAGTACAATTTCAGAAATATCCTAACACTTACACACAAGTTATTGTCATGAAACTAGAAAAATGCTTGCTTTTTGCCCCTTTTTTGGCCCCTAATTCCTAAAATTTTGAGGCAATTACCCCCATAACCAATTACAGCCTTCCCTTTGTGATATGGAACCTTGTGGTACAATGTCAGAGAGATCCATACACTTACACACAAGTTATTGTCTGGAAGTTACAAAAATGCTTATTTTTGGCCCCTTTTTGGCCCCTAATTCCTTAACTGTTGGTACCATAACCCCCAAAATCAATCCCAACCTTATGGTAAAATTTCATGGAGATCCATTCACTTAAACTAAAGTTAGAGTGCGAAAACCAATGTGTCTTCGGACATCGACGACGACGACGCCAACGTCATACCAATATACGACCAAAAAATTTTCAATTTTTGCGGTCGTATAAAAAAGGTAGTTGTGTGTGTCTTACCTTTTTCCAAACTTGATTTTGTTCCTTTCCTTCAGTCTTATAAACTGCCAGCGGACAAAAGAGTCATAGAATGGATTGACATCAGTGGTAATAAATGTTCTTCTCCAATCTGCCTGTAAAAACAACAATCAACTATTTACAAAGAGTAGTTTTCATTAATTGCTACACTTTGGCTATTCCTTTCCAAAACATATTCACCAAAACTTTTGCTTTTGTTTAATACTGAAAGATGTCAATTTGTGTTGTAGCAAGTATGAAAATAAATTTGTGTTTCGTTTAATTTGCAAAAGTGACTTTTGAATGAAATGTCATTGTGATGGCACCATAATCAATGTCAGGAAGTATACTGCATTTGCCCTTATCTGTCTGTATGTCAGTTGGTCAGTAACTTCCTTTTTGATACTATGAATATTTCATCAAGTCTTATAACAATGTGAGGGTATATTTTACATCACATTGTGAGCAACTCCTTATTGTATCTGTCTTTGCATATCTACATTTATTTTAAATAATTAAACTACAAATTGTTTTTCCTTTGATGCACACTCTTAAATCTTGAATCTTGTTGTTGATAAGGATGCTAATTCCATACTCCTTTGTGTGCTTGCATATTATTTTATTCTATATGTAGAAAGTATTCCAGTTACGTTTGGCATATCTTATTCTTAAACATATGAGATTCCTCTTTGCTTTAGGTTGGAAGATTTATACATATCTGACATACCTTCACTCCCATTTTAATCAGATCACTTTTAGCTTTAGGTGGGAAATATTCTAACCAATGTTGAACATCACAGAATGGTTTGATTTCTTCATCTGTAAATCCCATAGCTGCCATGATCTGCCATTGGTATTTTAATCCTCCAGTTTTGGCCTTTACCTTGCTCTAAAAAAAATGCTGAATTTTACAGTAAAACCTAAATAATAATAAGAATTCATTAACAGTTTGGTTTGACAGAGACTAATAAATATATAGATAAAAAGAAGCTGTATTGCTCACCTTGATTCTATGTATAATTTGCAATATACAATACTGCTTAAAACCAAGTCATATCATTTATACCCTTTATAGACTCTAAAAAAAAATTACCATCTAGAACACAATTCAGAATATTTATGAATGTGTATAAAAACGCACATATGTTTAGGGTTATTCATCAAGTCATTGTACTGTAATCATTAAAAAATTAACAAGCAGTTTTTTTTGGCTCATAGGATTCTGAAGTAAATTCAAACCTTCTTTGGAGTCCTCAATGTACCCCTTAATAAAATCATTTACACAAACAAAATATATTATGTACAATTAGATATATTAGTCTAGCATACTGTAGAACCTTAAGTGCATCCTACTCAAAGTCTCTGGCAATGTCATGTGCCATACACATTAATTGACTGTTGTTTACTTTACTTCCATTGGGAAATAATTCATGCATGTTCACTGCAGGAACAAATTAATAATGAATAAAAAAAGATAGAAATTTGGACTGTTACGGGTAACAAGGGATGTTGGATAGGAACTAATAGTTTACCACCTACAGATCACTAGGAGAGTTGTTGCAAGGGTTCTCCAAACTTTTGTTTGAGAGACTTAATTAGCCTACAGCACTCACCTTTTTACCCTTTGATTTGTCCTTTATTACAACTTCTGTGACCTCCTCTTTTTCTTCTTCCTCTTCTGGTGGAAACTGTGGTGGATATCCAAAATCAGCAATCTCTCTTGTCAGCTTATCTGCACAAGCCTGTAAAGATGTGTTGGTATCCATTTTAAAAATCAATATTTTAAATTTTTGATGTCTTTTTTAGATAACAGCATCGATGGTCGTGTAGTAGCGTGGCTGCCTCTGTATGTTTTTTCTAGAACAACTTGCGTTGTTGGGAACACAAGTTGGGTTGCTGTCTTGTAGATGTTTATCTAACATCTCTATTCATTCATACTAATCAAAATAAGCAATTACCAACCAAAACAGTGTGTAACTTTTAGGTGTGATGAATTTATTCAGCTCATTAATTCATCGTCTTAATCTAATATTTTTTTATAACAGATTTTAAGTAAAACGATGTTTTCTAATAAGTTCACTACGGTTTTCGTCTTTCTGTCAATTACATTTTCATCATGAAATAAGTGAAACTGCGAGCTACTGCTCACTGATGATACCCCCAGCCCAAATATTTGACGGTAAACAGGAAGTTGTTGAGTGATGAATCTGAAAACACATCACATGATATAGCTGACTTATATAAACACTGAAACCAAATTTCAGAAAGCCTTGTAATGTAGTTCCTGAGAAAAATGTGACGAAAATTTTCAACTTGGATGTGTTGTGTAAAATGATGTAAGTGTTCGGTAAACAGGAAGTTGTTGAGTGATCAATCTGAAAATGCATCACACTGTATAGCCGACTTATATAAACCCTGAAACCAAATTTCAGAAATCCTTGTATTGTAGTTCCTGAGAAAAATGTGACGAAAAATTTTCATGGGACGGATGGACGGACAGATGGACAGACAGAGGTAAAACAGTATACCCCCACTTTTTTAAAGCCACTTTTTTAAAGCGGGGGTATAATTAGAGTAATCTAAGCAAATTGTGTGGTTGTATGAAAAGTTTCTTAAAAAAAATTCAAAATGACAAATGATCATTAATGGCCCTTCGGATAAGCAGATTACATAACAAATTATGACATCTGTTGTGACCCTTGATTAACTTGGAGACGTTAACTTGTCATAAACATGCTGCCAGGTAAAATTATTTCATTATTTTGAAAATTGTTATGTAAATGATGAAATGACAAGCGCTGGCAAAATCACTTATTTATTTATCACCTTTACAGAATAGTCATTACATGTCTGAAAAGCATGTCTTAATTTTCATTAACTGATTTCTGTCAACAACATACCTTTATGGGCATACCAGTACAATGTAATCCAAATGGGAATAGACATTTCTTTCCTTGCATCCTCTGAAATCCAACAGCAAACTGCAAAAGATTCAAAACTATTAATTTTAGATTAGAATGAAACAACATGGTTTATTTGTACATATGTTACTTTTGTTTCTATAGCTATCAAAAAATTGTGTATTCTATTGCTCTACACAGTTATTGGTTTTCTAAAGCTAATGTTATACTTAAGCAAAATATCTACAACCAGTCTTATTGATCTTAAATTCAATGTCTCTTCTCAAAAGATGTTTTATTGATAAGAATTCACATTATTTAAATAGTTCAAAAGGGTAACAAATCCTCAAACTAAATATTCATGTTTTTAACCCCCAAATTATATAAATTTATTTTTTATGTAAATCAATTAAATTTTTTTAGATTCCAGACAATTTAGAGCTTGACATATTTTCTACTGTTGAAGACAATATGCTGAACCCTAGTTGTCATACACTCTTGTGTAGTTAGGTTGCCTACCTATTGAGGTAAACCTGGCATCTCTTATTACCATGTGTGACAATTTTGATTTAAAGAATGTTCACCTCACTGAACTATGTTATATGAGTTCACAAAGGTAGAGACGAGGTTTGAAAGATAAGCTATAATGCCATCTTTACGCCCCAAAAAATCCATAAAAAACAAAACTACTTAAATTTAGGTAAGTTTATTACTTTACCTCACATTTTGATAAAGAAAAAGTGTGTCCTAAATGTAGTGTTCCATTCATGTAAGGATAAGGAAATGTAACCATATACTTTGGCTGCCTGAAAAGATATCAATATATTGTTAATTCTGTAGTTTATATAAGAAGAAGCAATCTAAAATCAAGTTATAATCTGATAATAAATAAAACCATACATAAGCTTTATTTAGAGTCTGCATAGTATATAAACAAGGACATAACATAAGCTCTATTGAGCTTTTAACCAACATAATTTTCCTTTATAGTTATGTAAAGATATATTTTTTCGCAACTATGCTATTTTGGCAGTCAAAAATCCTTTGACCATATAAACTATGGCTTTATTGTGGTATAAAGACTTGTTTGTGACATTGATAATACATTTTTGCAGAGTTTTGTCTTCAACATTGCAAAGAATGCAGGCACACGATTTTTTTTATATTTTTAGATAATTTACATGTACATATGTAGCACAAGTAGCTAGTCTACATGTTCTATATAAACAAAACTGACCATACAAACAACAAAACATATCATTCAACTAAAAGTAAATATATCACATATATTTTTACTTAGGATCTGAAGGAGCATCTTCCTCAAATACATGTTGTTGATTCCATTTTTCCTGAACTTGTTTCTCTATACTGAGTATTTCATCTAGCTTAGCTGTACTCTTCCTTTCAACCTGTTGTTGACCAGCACTATCCATGCTGAAATAAAAATAAAACATGTTCTCTAAAGATGGGTAAACATTCATTTATTTATTAATGTTTATGTGACATTCCAAATTAACTTTCCACACTTGAGAGTTGTGACATATTGATGACCATGTGATGACATTGTGTTCTTTTCAAGTTCTATTGTTGTGCTGGGTTGCAGTCATACTGACAGATATACCCATCTGCTATATTTATTCACTTACATTTTCAGTTGAGCAAATTAGTTGGAAAATGTACAAAGTGTAAGGTGCTCAAGAGGTAAGCAGTTCATGTCCCAATATAGTCAACTGTTGTGTATCTCATTGCAAGTTAAGTCTGATATGAGTTCCTTTTAATATTGTCATATCAATTGGGTGATATAAACTCTGTATGCAAGGGATGCTAAAATGTTGCTTAATTATATTTGTCATTTAACCCAATTTTTGCTGGTCAAATCTGGGAATTAATGAGCTCACTTGAGTTTTTGTATCACCAGTCTGGGTTATCAAATAACCTGGGATTCTTTATCTTTATATTCAGTGCCTTCTGGCACTAATACTTGTACAAATACGTCTTCTACAGTTTGCATCCACTTCCACCAAGGTGTATTACAAGAAATAATTCCACTTTTCTCATCAAAATTTGCAAGTATCTACTTCTGGCACATATACCAGTATCTGTGATTACCAAATCCAGTATTCCAGTTTGTTCACCCAAAATCATGTTCCCTCCTTTTCAGGTTTACCCCTTTTCATGTTTGCAGCCTTTTTTAAGATTGTGTGTTGAATAATATTTTAATCAGGTTTTAGTTACATTTTATAGTGTATTGATTTAAATTAAAAGACAATAAGGTTTTTTTTAATTGTTTTAAAATAAAGTGACATTCTAAAAACATAACAAGTTTCCTTTAGGATTGTTTAGGGTGTTGTGAATTATTAAGACAAAATAAATAATGAATATTGTCATGATGATCAAAGACCCACAATGACCCAGTTCATTCATGAAAACAAGACTTGTAAAAGAAAGGCAGAAGATACTACTGTTTTCACTCATACCCAGCTAACCACACCAAAGCTATATGTAACAACGATCATGATTTTCAAGCTCATAACAATAATATCATATTAGCTTTGTATTTATGAATTAAAAATAATCATAAATAATTAATCAACTAATCAAACACAAAAATATTTAGGCACTGGCTAGGATTACCCGCTAAAAGTAACAATAAGAAATACTTATAGTTACTTCCTAGACTAATTGACGAAATGTATATTCAGACAGGGACCAGATTTAATACGGAATTTGCAGGTAACAATAATACATTTTATTTCTACCTGCAAAATTTTACATTTGCAAACTATGTCTTTTGTGTGTAGCATCGTAATACTTTGGACTGTCTTCGTGTCATTGTTCCGTATACATTGTTTAACATATTTTAACACATTTAAATGAATAGAAAATTATTTATTGAACATAGCAATGATAAAATGAAAGTACATTTATACATACTTAGAATCCTTTTAGCTATTTATTTGAGGCCAATACATTTCAGGTGGTACCTTTCAAGACCCCTGTTGCAAACTATAGATCCCTTTATATATATACATGTATGCATGTCTATACCACACACTAATAAACAGTTATTTTAATAGACCCCCTATGACAAAAGTGAACGTCAGATTGGTCAATACATCTGAAAGTTTAACCAAGTTAATGTTTTTACATTATAATTTGTTTTTACTTATTTTTGAATCAGATTGCTCCTAAATCAAACATTTTTTTTATCAGTGCCTGTCTGAATATATTTTTGCAGGTACTGACAGTACAATGTAACTGCAGGTAACAATAACTAGAGGCTCTCAAGAGCCTGTGTCGCTCACCTGATTCTACTTTGGTTTTGGAAATCATGTAAAAATAGATTAAAATCATAACAGATACCCTAATGATTGAGGCCTAATTTGGTATAATATTGGCCCCGTAATTTAATCAAAAGCAGAAGACTTTTGTAAAGTTTACAGAATTTACCAATAAATTCATTGAAATTGTAGAAAATGACTTTATAAGGACAATAACTCCAACAAGATGTCAATTGACAATTTTGCTCATGTTGACTTATGTGTACATCTTCTTTTCTTGATATTTTTGAAGTTTACAGTATATCTCAATCTATAAAGATACATGTATTAAAGTCTTCATCAGCACCTCATAAGGAACATTTATGCCATGTTTGGTTTCATTCCATTCAGTGCTCCTCTAGAAGAAGCATTTGTATGTATTTCCCATAGGGTCTTATGTTAAACTAAGTCCCCTGCTGGCACCCATCTTGGATGACAAATCAGATACAAAGTAACAACACTTGGTCAGCACCTCAAAAGAAACATTCATAACATGTTTGGTTTCAATCCATTAAGCGGTTTTCTAGAAGAAGACATTTGTATATATTTCCCATAGAGTCCATTTGTTAAACTAAGTCCCCCGTTGGCAGCCATCTTGGTTGATGGATTTGCTACAAAGTAACAACACTTGGTCAGCACCTCATTAGGAACATTCATGCCAGGTTTGGTTTCATTCCATTCAGTGGTTCTTCAAAAGAAGACTTTTGTATGCATTTCACATAGAATCCTTTGTTAAACTAAGTTCACCGCTGGCCGCCATCTTGGATGATTGATTGGCTACAAAGTAACAACACTTGGTCAGCACCTCATAAGGAACATTCATGCCATGTTTGGTTTCATTCCATTCAGTGGTTCTCTAGAAGAAGTTCAAAATGTAAAAAGTTAACAACGAAGACGAGGGACGCCAAGTAATGAGAAAAGCAAAAGCTCACTTGGCACTTGTCCAGGTGAGCTTAAAATAATATATGTATTACCTGCAATTTTCGTATGAAATCGGGTCCCTGTCCAGACATACATTTTGTCAATAAGTCTCAGAAGTAACAATAATTATTTCTTATACTTACCTTTTGCGGGTAATCGTAGCCAGGGCCAAATATTGAGTTATCAAAACAAATTACTAATTTTTTATTCATGAAAATATAAATATTTTGATATATACATAAAAAAAAAACATCTACTAATTCAACCTGTATTTGACTAAAAACACGGTGCAAATATGTGGATGCCAATGTGTAGGGCCCAAACATGTTAAGGAAGCAAACAGACCTGTTACAATGATTGCCTGGCAGGTATGACTGACATATCTCATGATGTCTGGGTGTCATGTAAGGTACTAGCCAGATGGTTTTTGAGTTGAATACTGGAGTTGTCCAGTAGTGGACCTGTGAGCTGCTCGGATGGATTGTACACAGCACAGAAAAAGAAAAGGGGGAAGAGTGTGGTATAATTTAAACCTCATAAATGATAATTTGAGATATAAAGGTCTTACTGAGTAAGGGAAGATCTTCTTTGGATCAGTCCGTTAGAGAACTGCCTTAACAACCCAAGATTGAGGGTTCGAATCCCATTGGTACCATCCATGTTTCTTTTGTATTGTCAAAAATTATAGTTCAATTTCTTGGTGAAAGAATAACCGGACTGAAATCCCCATCTGCTTATTATTAATTTTGTATTAGACCGCTTAAATATGCACATGGATAGTTTTCTCAATGAACTTATCTTTACCTTAAGCAGCCGAATAAATTCTGTTTGTTACAAAGGATTGGAAATCCTTTAAATATATTATTTTAATGATGAAATCAAGAGACACATGTTCAGTCATCTAAATTTGGTAGGAAAGACCACGATTACAATTCCGGAAAATAATAAAACCGTGAAATCAACAATCATGTAAATCTGTTCTATTTGGGGTTTTTTTAATGTTTTTTGTTAGAACCATCTGTAATCTAATAAAATAATCATTTTTGTATTTGTTCCTTCAATTCCTTACACAATAGGATTCTTTCAAAGCTTAAGTATGATAAAGGACGAAAAAAAATTAAAATAAGTAAATGAACACTTTACTTGAGAGTTATGGCAAGAAATGGCAAATTTTGATGAGAAAAGTGGAATTATTCCTTGTAATACGCCTTGGGGAAAGTGGCTGCAAACAGTAGAAGACGTATTTGTAGAAGTTTTAGTGCCAGAAGGCACTAAATGTAAAGAAATATCAATTAACATAAAAACCAAAACAATTAAAGTGGTTGTCTCAGGGAAGGAAGTGTTCAGTGTAATTATTTTGTGTTAGAACCTAGTAAATATTAATATTCTGCTTGTATTTAGATTTTTGACTAATACATTTTTGAGGTTGACTTATAAGAGGGTAGGAATGCCCTTTATCATCAATCGTCAAACGTTCGTTTTTCGCTACTGTTAGCGTCAAATGAGCCATAATTTTTTATCGTCATTCATCAAATCTCATTTTGAAGCTACCGTTAGAGTCAAATGGAGTAAAATGTTTATCAACAAATATTTTACTGTCATTTGTCACGAGGGGTACCCCATTCCTCACTACCATCTTATATAACAGTTAAAATAAATGTTGACATACTATGACGCCTGTTCTTATGTAGATACAAAAACATTACCCTCAGTCCATGTACCTGATACTCTCCCTACTTTTCAAGGACCAGTTCTTGTCACCTGCCATTTTGTTCAATAATGGAAGCCTTGCATAAAAAAATACATACTGCTGATATGATCAGAAAAATGTTTTACTTCATTTGTAAAAACTCCATTCTGTTTGATCAGACTTTATCCGATTAAGATAGGAAAATGCAAAATTTTCTATTAATTGAATATGTTGTGGGAAGATGCACGTGTGGAAACATGACATCATCGCTTTATGACATCTTCCATTTAGGAAAACTTGCCATTTTCAGGGATCACCATGACCTATTGTAGTGTGGAGGTATTCCACGCTTAAATTCCAATAAAAACTAAATCTTAATTTGCAAAAGGTAACTGTCTGTTTTTACGAAATTCCTTGTTTATATAGTATATTGTTAGATTTTTTTTTGTGATTCTCTCATCAGAAACAACTATAGCTAGACATGAGTATAAAAATGGAGATGTAGAATGATTGCCAATGAGACTACTATCCACCTTAGTCAAAATGATATGTCATGGATATGATGGATGTAAGTAACTATAGGTCACTGTATGGCATTCAACAATGAGGAAAACCGATACTCTATCATAGGCATAGAGTCAGCTATAAAATTCCAAAACATGACAAAACTGAAACAATTCAAACAGGCAAACCAACAGCCAGATTTATACCAGTTTAAGCAAAACTTGAATAATTGCAAGGCTTAACATTAAACCTCGAGCTCCCACAATGAAACTTAACATAACTGGTACCCAGACTCAGTCCTAGTTATGTGCATAAATGCCAGGCCAGCCATACAGGTTCCTCAAAGCCTCTTATTAATCTTACAAACTTTGATATATATTAGTTGCACCAGATTTTGCAAAGATATTCACTGCCTTTGTCCCTTTTAAAAATTTCTTAAATCCACTTCTTACTTTTTGAATATTTGTTCTGAAATAATTGATTTGTTACCTTTTAGAAATGTTTAGTTGATGCAATTTATCTTTTCTATATTTCCAGGGTGATTTGCATAAAGCTGTGCATGCTGATGAAGCTGTGTGGACATTAGGTAATTTGTTTAATAATCTGAGTATTGATAAAGTACTTTTGTAAACCATTTTGTACATTTCAGCAATGATATAAGGTATCAAGCACTATTTTCTCAAAATTCTCAACACCACATAATCATCAAAGTTGTGACTGAGTGTCAAAATTTGAAAATAGATGAAAAATAGTTTTATTTTCTAAAATGGCCCATTTCTTATGTTGTACTGTTACACCACTGTCCCAGGTAAGAGGAGGGTTGGCGCCTTCAAACTAGTTTAACCCTGCCACATTCTGTATTTGCCTGTCCCAAGTCAGGAGCCTGTAATTCAGTGGTTGTCGTTTGTTGCTGTATATCATATTGTTTTACATTTGTCATTTTGGGGCCTTTTATAGCTGACTATGCGGTATAGGTTTTGCTTATTGTTGAAGACCGTAAGGTGACCTATAGCTGTTAACTTCTATGTCATTTGGTCTCTTGTGGAGAGTTGTCTCATTGGCAATTATACCACATATTTTTTTTTTTAATTATAATAAAAAAAATGCAATCAATAATATAAAACTGTCTAACTCAAAAGAGAATAAAGAAAACATACATGCCATATTCTTATATCACTGGTCATTTGATATTCATCTTTTATCATATACATGTAGGAGGCAAATTCCTCTTTATAAATACATGAAACATTAAATTGACATAAGTGAAACAGCAATTGATAGAGAATTTTCATTGAATTGTCAGCATTGGTTTTGTTCTGGTTTGCTGATTTCAATGGCTCTTGGAAAATTCTTTGAACTTCAACATCTTCTGCATTCTCCTTAATGTATGTATTTACACAACTTTTGGCATATAGTCATTTTATTAGAATTCGGAAGTTACAGATCAAATGTTAGTAAATTTGGTAAAATTAACATTGGAGATCTTATGTTAGCATTCTCACCTCATATGTGGGAAGTTGTTGGTCAGTTTCCTTGTCAGTTAACCAAATTAAGGCTTTAAAAATAGTATTCCTTGCTTCTCTTCACTAGACATGCTAGATGTGCAACATTGAGGAGCTTGAGTTATGCTGGTATGAGTATAAATGTGCTTAAATGCCATGATTTAAATTTTTTTGAATGCCAGTTTTGAAGTATTCAGTTTATAGACATGTGTATATATGAAGATTTTTACAAGTCCGATCAACACCCTTATGCAGCGGGAAAGTAGGCAAGTCTATTGGCTACTGAAAAGAGACCTTGAACTATTTGTTGTGTATTGAAATATAATGTGAGGTAATAGATCCAGTTTGAGTTTTGCCCCTTGATGCACCTAAAACAATATAATAATGAATGGTAAATTTTTCGATATTGCTGCAGCTTTAAAGTATGTCATGCATGTATTGGTATAATATTCCCTGAGAATGTTTAATATAACTTAAAGATCTGCATTAATTTTTTTTTTTTAAACTCTCTTACTGACGATGTACATATATATTTACAGAAGATAAGAAGTTGATAAGAATCTGTTTACCAAAGGTCCATAGCACTGCAGGCAACTGTTGGAAGTCATTGTTAAAATCACAATATGAAGCTGATCCATCTACCTTTGATCAGATGGAACAGAAATTAACATTGGAAAAATTTCAGAACGAGGTACAGTAGACTCTGGCAAATTGGATACTCAAAATGTCAGCAAAAATATCCCATTACCTGATATATTCGATTAGACGAAAGATGTATATTATAAATTTCAAAATTCTTCATCAGTTATTTGTTTTCCCCTCTGTCCTGAAATTAAGGGTAATGATATACTGAACTTAGTGTCTGTATTTCATTTTAATTAAAAGTTTTGGTATAATTGAAGTGAATTGAAGGTTATAGCAGCATATTCATCAAACCTCATTTTTAAGGCAATTGAGTATACTGTAAATTCAGAAATTATTGAATGCGTGCATTTATTATTGCAAATCCTTGGCATCTGGTATAAATGTGAAATCTAATTAATGTGATTGCAACAAGTTTATGAAGGAAGATCACTACTGAAATTATGAATGCAAATTTTTTTATTATTGCGAACCTGATACTGCAGCATTTTTTTCATTGATAAAAACATTGCAATAAACTCTGAATTACATTAGTTAATAATGTTATTTTTTGACTCGATCTAAAGTAATAAAACTTTAAACAAAATAATAGATTATAATAATTATTAAAAGATTGTTAATATATTTATGCCAAAAGTACATTTAGTATTAAAAAATAGGATAGAAGTGAAAAATAAAGTAACATTGACTTCAGAAATAAGAATTAAACAAATTGTAGAAAAATTAATAAAACTGATAACTTTCACTGGTTACAAAGTAGGTTTTCATCGATTCTGTTCATGCCAACATATGCTAGATTATATTATTAACAAAATAACTGTAAAAGTTAAGTTACAAATACTGTCATCTACTGTCCAGTGAAATGTGTTAAATGTTATGAAATAAAATAATGATGCCACAAAAACATGAAATATTTGTAACTGGACAATAAGAGAGGAACAATCAATAAGAATACAAAATATTGTTAATATTTTAATTTGCTGATATAGAATTTTAAGGTAACATAATGTAAGTGTAGCAATAGAAAACATAGAAAAAATTGCAGTTTTGTTTTTCAAAACAAAGTGACTGTCTTTACTTCATTGGACTTATTTTTAGAAAATATAATTTTTTTTTATTTTAATTACTTTGAAAACAAGTTTAATTCTCCATTTCAGGGAGAATTTGGAGATTTTCTTCATTAAAGACAAAAATAGGGTAAGGTTTAGTCTATTTCAATACAGTATTTAATTAAATTTGATAAAGAAGAAGAAGCAATGAAGGTTCCCAATATCATGAATATAAAAACAAAATTTTAAACAAATTTGTTTATAATCTTGATTAAAGATGTTTTTTTTCCATGGATATTTATTATTTTAAAGTAAGGAAAATTCTATTCTCTTTTTATCAAAACGAAAGAATCTTAATGTTTACCTTTGCATTTAATATATAGTCTATATAGAAAATAACTGCTTTCACTTTTTGGTAATATTTTTAAAGAAAGCTCTACCCATAAAACTTAAGGGGAAACAATTAATGGGAGCTATTACCCTTAAATCATGATTTTAACTAATTTTCCTTTGTTAGTATTTTTGTCATGAAATTAAATGTTAAGTCCACAAATCTTACCCATTTCTCTTTAATGCAACTTGTTTATTATATTGAAGTGCAAAAAATGATGTCATTTGGTCTCTGATGGATAGTTGTCTCGTTGGTATAGATCATACCACACACATCTCCTTATTTTAAAATTCATCATTATACAAATTGATGCAGCTTACAATAATGGAAATACCATAAATAAAACTAATTGTAGCATAAGTAAGTTAATTGCAGCATAAGTAGTTAAATTATTTTCCTTGTTCTGTCAGCACAATGCAGACATCCCTGGTTGCATTACTCCATTTTTTCTTCTTCTCCGTAATGATAAATTTTAGTTTGTTTTAGGTGATACATGGTCCGGGTACACAGTTATCGTCCTTTGATTTTCGTTGTCCACGAATATAGTCCCTAGTGTGGACAGTGTGTTACTTGTCGATTTTTTTTATACCCCTTCCGAATTTATTTCTCCATGTTTTATGACTCAAATAGTAAGTAGGGGGGTGAAATGACACTGTAAAAAAATTTGGGTCATGAATTTTAAAGTAAAGTAGTGATTTGGTCCAGCTGAAAAATGTTAAAAATTAGCACATCGGAAGCTGTCAAAAGATTTGAAGACCCCCTTAGCATGAAATTGTCCATATTTTGAGTTAGAGCCGATGAAGTTTTCTATAATTTTGATATAATTTGTCCCAAAAGTAGTACAACACACTGTAAAAATATTATTGAGAAAGCGCAGGTGGGATTTTTTTAATTTCCATTTATTGTCTAAAAGAAATGCACTACGAAATAACTGTGTACTCGGACCTAAGAGGTGAAATCAGGAAATATAGAATCTGTACTTTGGCAACTTCCCTGAATGATTTGATGGTGTCAATTTATCAAATAGCATAAAACTAAAGGATTTAAACTTTTATTTGATAGAATTTCTGAAAAAATGACCAATTTTGGCATTTTATGGTCAAAATAAGCATTTCATAGCTTTTTCAATTTTGATGCATAAGTGGCATTCTGACTTTCTATCTGACAGGTTTTTATGTGTCAATATTTGTGTTTCTATGTTTCAATCCAGTTGTATTACTCATTTGTGAACTCTGAATCTACAGAAAAGAAGATTATCTCAGACAATATGCGCAAAATGTGTTGTATATATGATCATCGTCTAACGCCCTGTTTGGATCAAGTTAAATGTGAGGAGCTTGGAACATAAAAGTTGAAGTCCATTATAAAGACCTCACTAAATTTGTATAAAAAGCACTTAACAATGTCTTTTGTACCTGTTTTATGTCACAAAATACCTTTCTTTTCTTCTGTAGGATAGCAAGTGGTTCAAATATAAGCCTGTTGAGACTAAAATTGCATGCATGTTTTTCACTAAAAAGTGAAAAATCTTTGTATCAGACCATACTGTCTGCAAAAAAAGTTGAATGCAAGAGTCTTTTTGTGCTCAGATTTATTGTATCATGTCACCTGAGTATAGAAATGATAGAAAAGACACAAAATTTTATTTCATATAGCTTCAATATGCATTTTTAAATGTAAATATGTGATACGGCCTAAATTGACCCTAAATTATTTTCAGTCTTACTTGGCCTAAGACCCTTTTAAGCTAATGTGATATGTTATTTGTAAGTTTTCTTTCCATTTAAAGTACATTAAATACATATGTAAGGATTATTTATAACCAAAAAGCTTTACAAATTTAAAATTGCTGGAAAATATTACATCTTCATGTAAGGCCCCCCTTCATTGGAAAACCTCCATTTTTAGGCACAGGCTCATATAAATTTGACTTTTTAATAATTATGATAAGTCTGATGAATCAAATGAGTACTCTATTGCTTTTAATACATAATATATTATATATTAAGGCATTTCAAAAGTATTTTTTTGCAATATTTTAATTTTTTAAGCCTCAATTGTTGATAGTTGAAAATTTTCAATTTTAACGTCTAAATTTAACACTCAAAGTTCAATATAGAATTAGTCATATTGTCTATAATATATATCCTATTGCCATGAAACTTTGTAAGCAGTCTTATAATTTAATAAGCTTTAGTCATACCAAGTTTCATTAAGATTGGTCAACTTTTTCTACCCTATTAGGTCCGGGTACACAGTTATCGTCCTTTGATTTTCGTTGTCCACGAATATAGTCCCTAGTGTGGACAGTGTGTTACTTGTCGATTTTTTTTATACCCCTTCCGAATTTATTTCTCCATGTTTTATGACTCAAATAGTAAGTAGGGGGGTGAAATGACACTGTAAAAAAATTTGGGTCATGAATTTTAAAGTAAAGTAGTGATTTGGTCCAGCTGAAAAATGTTAAAAATTAGCACATCGGAAGCTGTCAAAAGATTTGAAGACCCCCTTAGCATGAAATTGTCCATATTTTGAGTTAGAGCCGATGAAGTTTTCTATAATTTTGATATAATTTGTCCCAAAAGTAGTACAACACACTGTAAAAATATTATTGAGAAAGCGCAGGTGGGATTTTTTTAATTTCCATTTATTGTCTAAAAGAAATGCACTACGAAATAACTGTGTACTCGGACCACATGATAATTTCTTTATTAATCCTCAGTATCATATACAATCAGAAAACAGCTTTTGTAAAGTTTTAATCAAACAGACCATGTACTTTTAGTAAGAAGAGCATGCTTCTGGATATTTTCGCATGTTGGAAATATACTATATTCTACTCTGGTCTTAAATTGTACAACATTTGTACATCTGGTTCTTTAATTAGGTGTCTAGTTCAATTTCACATAGTTTGATTGAAACTTAAATAAAGCTTACAGAAAAATTTAATTTCAATTTATTTATATAAAACTTTATTAGCTGTTTAGGAAAATCATCACAGTTATTATTCCCAGAAACTATAATGACCTGACAAGAATATTGTAAGTTGATCTATAGAAAATTAAGTAAGTTCAGCAAAAATATTATGATTTTGATTTATCACTTTGCAGAATCCTGGTTTTGACTTCAGTGGTGCTTCAATAACAGGCAACTATCATGATGGAGGGCCAAAATTAGGCTAAAGTGATCTCATATTCATTCTTAGACATTTTTTCACAATGAATTTAAGAAAACTTTCAAATTTAATATTATACTGACCTATTGAACAAACATTGAAATGGAGGAGGAACACTATTGTATGAATTGTAAATGTGAATTAAGAAAGCCATATATTATATGTAAAGCTGAGGTATGTCACTCCATCACTATCTGTGTTCATTGCTTTTCTAAAGGAGTTATATTTGGAGTTCATCAAAATGATCATCCCTACACTGTTTGTAGAACAGATTTCCCACTGTTTGAGCAAACATGGACGGCAGAGGAGGAAACCACGTTACTTGATATCATGTCAGACTGTGGCTATGGCAACTGGTCTGATGTAGCTCACAGGCTACGAACAAAGAGTCAGTCAGAATGTCAGAATCATTACAATAAATATTTCATTGATAAACCTCATGATGACTTACCTCACTTTAAAGAGTCAGAGAGAACTGTGTATCCACAACCGATCATATATAAACTATGTGACGACCCTCCACGCTACCCAGAAAACAATGACCTCAGTGGGTATATGGCTGGAAGGGGTGATTTCACAATAGAATATGACAACTTCATGGAACTGGAAATCAAGCATTTAGATTTTGATGAAGAGGATGAAGATAGTAAAATGCAGTTGGGAGTTCTGGATGTGTATTACGATTGCATGAAAGAGAGATGGAAACGGAAAAAAATTGTCAGAGATTATGGTCTGATCAACATACCAAAGGTACAAGTTGCCAGCCGTAGATACAGTTACACCATCAAGGACCTTATTGACAAGTTGAGAGTATTCATAACATTGGTATCACCTGATGAATATAGTAAATATCTTGAGGCACTACATTATGAGAGAGAATTAAAACATGATATCAAGAAACTTCAGAGCAGAAGAGAAAATGGCATGACCTCCATGGAGCAGAGTAAAATGTATCACATCCTGAATTCAAGGAGAAATGTAGTGAAATCAAAAAGACATCTTATGGTAGATCTATTATCACATTTAAAAGATGAAACCTCTTGTCAAACATGGCTTCATAGGCAAGCTGTTTTAGACAATATGTCAAAAGGAGGCTTAGTTGTGTTACCAAATGCTCCAAGAAAAACAGCTCCCCCACTAGACATTTCTAGTTTGCCAGGTTATGAAAAACTAGCAGAGACAGAACAAGAGATCTGTGCTAATATAAGATTGGTTCCAGAGGCTTATGTAGAATTTCGTAACACTCTGATTAATGAGTGTAAGAAAAATGGATGCTTGAAACTTGGACAGGCAAGAAGTTTGATCAAAATTGATGTAAACAAAACAAGAAAATTATATGATTTTTTGTTGACTAATGGGATGATTAATAAAGAGTAGCTCTTATCATTTTTCAGCATTATTTTGCAGTATTGTCATTTTCATATGAAAATAAATGTGGATGAACTTCCAATACTTATATTCATGATATTTTATATTAAACTATAGTTTTTATTGCGATCGTATATTGGTATGACGTTGGCGTCGTTGTCCGAAGACACATTGGTTTTCGCACTCTAACTTTAGTTTAAGTGAATGGATCTCTATGAAATTTTACCATAAGGTTCAATACCACAAAAGGAAGGTTGGGATTGATTTTGGGGGTTATGGTACCAACAGTTAAGGAATGAGGGGCCAAAAATAAGCACTTTTGTAACTTCCAGACAAAACTTGTGTGTTAGTGTATGGATCTCTCTGACATTGTACCACAAGGTTCAATATCACAAAGGAAATGCTGGGATTGATTTTGGGGGTAATTGCCTCAAAATTTTAGGAATTAGGGGCCAAAAAAGGGGCAAAAAACAAGCATTTTTCTAGTTTCATGACGATAACTTGTGTGTAAGTCTATGGACCTTTCTGAAATTGTACTACAAGGTTCCATATATCAAAGGGAAAGCTGGAATTGAGTTTGGGGGTAATTGCCTGTAACGTTAAGGAATAAGGGGCCAAAAATAAGCATTTTTCTAGTTTCCAGACAATAACTTGTGTTAAAGTGTATGGATCTCTCTGAAATTGTATTGCAAGGTACCATACCACAAAGGGAAGGCTGGGATTGATTTTGGGGGTAATTGCCTCAAAACTTTAGGAATTACGGACCAAAAAGGAGCAAAAAACAAGCATTTTTCTAGTTTCAGGACAATAACTTGTGTGTAAGTGTATGGATCTTTATGAAATTGTACTACAAGGTTCCATATCACAAAGGGAAAGCTGGGTTTGAGTTTGGGGGTAATTGCCCTAAATGTTTAGGAATTTGGGGCCAAAAAGGTGCCAAAAAACAAGCATTTTTCTAGTTTCCAGACAATAACATGTGTTCAAGTGTATGGATCTCTCTGAAATTGTACTGCAAGGTACCATACCACAAAGGGAAGGCTGGGATTGATTTTGGGGGTAATTGCCTCAAAATTTTAGGAATTAGGGGCCAAAAAGGGGCAAAAAACAAGCATTTTTCTAGTTTCAGGACAATAACTTGTGTGTAAGTGTATGGATCTTTATGAAATTGTACTACAAAGTTCCATATCACAAAGGGAAAGCTGGGTTTGAGTTTGGGGGTAATTGCCCTAAACGTTTAGGAATTGGGGGCCAAAAAAGGGCAAAAAAACAAGCATTTTTCTAGTTTCAAGACAATAACTTGTGTTCAAGGGTATGGATCTCTCTGAAATTGTACTGCAAGGTACCATACCACAAAGGGAAGGCTGGGATTGAGTTTGGGGTGATGAATCATAAGGGGGTTCAATAAATTGGGGGGGGGGGGATTTTTTTTCCCTTTTTTTCCTTTTTTTTTTCTTTAAAATTTTCAGTTTATTATTAAAGTTGGTTATTTCTGATTTAAATATAAAAGCAAATAATAATGATATGGTTTGAATAGGTAAATTAGAATTTTTTAAGTTCTTAGACCACATTCATTCTGTGTCAGAAACCTATGCTGTGTCAAATATTTTATCACAATCCAAATTCAGTGCTGTATCAAGCTTGAATGTTGTGTCCATACTTGCCCCAACTGTTCAGGGTTCGACCTCTGCGGTCGTATCAAGCTGCCCCCAGCGAAGCATTTTTTTAAGTATGTAAAGATGGCTTTCTTATACCAAGACAGATGAAATTTATCATTTCTTCTCAACAAAAAAATAGGTGGCAGATACCAATGAGAGGTTTATAAGTAATAAGTCGGAAGAAAAACTGACAATGCCATCACAAAAAATGAAAAACATGTCCACAAAACACTGCATAGAAAAACTAATGACTGAGTAACACGAAACCCCACAAAAAACCTGGCTTATTCTCAGATACTCTGGAAGGGTAACAGATGCTAAACCTGTCATGTTGCTCTTAATAAGTTAAAAAAAAAATACAAAAGATTTATTCCATGGTATACATGTCTATACTATGATCTTTACTTCATTTTATAAGTCAGCTATCAATGTTAAGTTTTTGTTATTAGGTCCTTTTCTCAAGTTCTGTTAGTAATAGGTCGCCTATATTGGATGTATAGAATGATTGTAGGATGAACAAGTCCATCTGACAGGTTCATTATATTAGTTAAGTTATGATTAATATAAAAATAAGGTCATTTTCTAAGATACTATAAGTAAAAGGTCAACTAAATTGGGTGTATAGAGTGACTGTAAGGTGTATATGTCCTTCTGAAAAGGTTCCTCTGACCTTTACCTCATTTATTTTTGCTTCATTCATCAATGTTAAGTTTTTGTGATCAGTTTTGTTGAGCCTGCGACATTTTTGTCGCAAAAGCGAGGCAGAGCCATCCTAGATCCTGTTGTTGGCGTCATCAACAATTAGGTTCAGGCTGTGGTTAAAGTATTTTTTTAGACATCAATAACTTTGTCAAACCTCCATGGAATTTTATGAAATTTGGACAGAAGCTTGTTTATGACCAAAAGACAGTATCCAGAGTGAAATTTTAAAATATTTATTTTCATTTTTCAGAATTTTACTGATAAATGGACTTAGTTTTTTACAGATAACATTTACAGACAGTCTGGGATTAAATATTTTTGACACGATAAATTTGTAAACCTTCATGGATTGTTATGAATCTTGGACAAAAGCTTATCTTCAAGACCAAGAAATAGCATCTAAAGAAAAAGTCTGATTTCTTTTTAATAAATTCTATATTTAACTGGTCCAAGGACACAGTTATCGGCCTTTGGTTTTTGTTGTCTACGAATATAGTCCCTAGTGTGAACAGTGTATAACTTGCATTTTTTTTTGATACACTTTCCCAATTTATTTCTTGATATTTATTGCATGAAATATTAAGTAAGGGGATGAAATTACATGTTTAAAAAAATTTGGGTGCTGAATCTTTATGTTAAGTAGTGATTTGGTCCAGTTAAAAAAGGTCAAAAATTAGAATGTCTGAAGCTGTCAAACTGAATTTTAGCCCCCCCTTAACACAGAATTGTCAATATTTTGAGTTAGAGCTGGTAGAAGTTTCTATAATTTTGATATTATTTGTATCAATAGTAGTACACTACACTGTAAAAATCTTTTTGAGATAGAGCAGGTGCGATTTTTTAAATTTGAATTTACTGTCTAAAAGAAATGCACTACGAAATAACTGTGTTCTCGGGCCTAAGAGATGAATTCCGTAAATGTAGATTTTGTACTTTGGCAACTTTCCTGAATGGTTTGCTGGTTTCAATTTGTTAAACTCAATAAAAGTAAAGGATTTACATCTTTGCTTGACAGAAATTCTGTTAAAATGTCCCATTTTGGCATTATACGGCTAAAATAAGCATTTTAAAGCAGTTTCCATTTTATGCCTAAGAGCCATGCTGACTTTCTATCTGACAGCTTTTTATGTTCCTGATATTTGTGTTTCTATGCTTAAATCAAATTTAATTAACCATTTGTGAACTCTGAATCTAGAGAAAAGTAGATTATCACAGAAAAAATGTGCAGAATATTTGTATTTATGTCCCTGGTTAAATGGCCTGTTTGATGTATGTGAAATGTGAAGAGCTTTGTACATAAAATCTGTAGTCCATCACAAATATTTCACTAAGTCTGTAAAAAAAAACCTCTACAATGATCAGTACACCCTATTCATTTCATATGCTACCATAATTTTCTTCTTTAGGATAGTAAGTTGTTCAAGTATATGCCAATTGAGACTAAAACTACATGCAAGTTTTCCATTGAAAAGTGAAAAACTGGTCATCAGACCATACTGTCTGCAAAAAAAAGTTGAATTCAAGAGTCCTTTTGCAATTAGACTTCTTGTATCATGACATCTTAGTATAGAAATGAGCAAAAAGTAAAAAATTTCTATTTCTTATAGCCTCTGTGTGCATTTTTATATGTAAATATTGGCTACGGCCTAAATCGACTCTAAATAATTCTCAGTCTTACTTGGCCTAAGACCATTTTTTTCTCATGTGGTATGCTTTTTGTAACTTTTTCTTTACATTTAAAGTACATTTAATATATATGAAAGAATAATGTATGGTTAAAAAACTTAAAAAACTTCAAATTGGTTGAAAAAAATGCATGTTTATGTAAGGCTTCCCTTAATTGGAAAATCTCTATTTTCAGGCACAGACTCATATAAATTTGACTTTTGAATAGCTGTAATAAATCTGATAAATCAAACCAGTGTTCCGTTGCTTTTAATACCTATTATATTATATTCAAGAGTATTTAAAAAGCACATTTTTGCAATATTTAAATTTTTTAGGCCAAAATCTTGACAGTTGAAAATATTTGATTTAAACGTCAAAAAAATACATCCAAATTTCAATATTAAAATGGCCCTAGTTTCTATAATATATATCTTATGGCCATGAAACTTAGCCAACTATCTTATAATTTCCTAAGCTTATGTCATGCAAAGTTTTATTAAAATTGGTCAAGTCTTTCTATCCTATTAGGTCCAAGGACACAGTTATCGTCCTTTGGTTTTCGTTGTCTACGAATATAGTCCCTAGTGTGAACAGTGTATAACTTGCATTTTTTTTGATACACTTTCCCAATTTATTTCTTGATATTTTATGCATGAAATATTAAGTAAGGGGATGAAATTACATGTTAAAAAAATTTGGGTGCTGAATCTTTATGTTAAGTAGTGATTTGGTCCAGTTAAAAAAGGTCAAAAATTAGAATGTCTGAAGCTGTCAAACTGAATTTTAGCCCCCCTTAACACAGAATTGTCAATATTTTGAGTTAGATCTGGTAGAAGTTTCTATAATTTTGATATTATTTGTATCAATAGTAGTACACTACACTGTAAAAATCTTTTTGAGATAGAGCAGGTGCGATTTTTTTAATTTGAATTTATTGTCTAAAAGAAATGCACTACGAAATAACTGTGTTCTCTGGCCAACTGATAAGTCAACATTACACTTTTACACTAACAGCAGCAATCGCAGGAGAGATACAGGGTTCAACAGAACCCCTTACAAATTTGTCATATACTAAATGTAATCATCAAATCTGTTGAGTGAATAGAATTATTGTTAGATGTACATTAATTTTATAACAATAACAGGATGCTGTATGATTTCAGCTATCCACAAGAGTACAAGTGATCTGGATGGAGGCAACTAAAGGTTACTGTACACTTTTCAACAATGAGCAAAATCCATACCCTCTACCATATGTGCCTCTGACATGTTTCATAATTTGACATTTACTTCATTTTTGTGATTCATTGATTATGTTAAGTTTCTGATATACCTGTAGTAAAACCTTGATCTTAAAGACATTCAACATAATCAACATAATATTCATCCATAATGGGAAAAGAATAAAGATATTCAGCATGTGCACTCTGGTCTTTTAAATTTCATGGTCCATGCTGAATGAGTAGAGTTCATACTGGTAGGACCTGTTTAAAAATGAAGAATAAAAAACCATAAGACAGGCAACACCTTTGTCTAAAGAAAAGGATAAACAACAGTCCACTAACGTAGTGAACTCTTGAAGCTTCTGCCATAGCAGATAGAAATATGTTTCTTGTTAACCCAAAGACATTACCAAATAATAAACCATCATTGAATGAATTTCTTCAAATTGAAATATGCTAAAACATAACTGAGTGGAAATGTTAATAGATGCCCAGCAAACACAAAAACATCTTTAAAATGTTTTTAAAATGTTGTGTCTAATGTCATGAAAATATCACAAAAAAACGTGAGAAAAACATTAAATGTATGGTAGAATATATATCGCTAAAACGTTTTCTAATATATTTTCTAAAATATTTGCATAATATAATTAAAATGTTGTAAAGAAATATCATGATAATGTGAAAAACAATGGCGTATAAAACATTTTGATAATCTTTTAAAAAATATTTTCTACAAATATTTTCTGAACGTTTGAAAAACATCATGAACATCAAATAATGTTATAAAAATGTTTTTTGGATGTTTTCTTGCAAGTGAGACTGTCCCTAAAAAATGTTTTCAAAATGTTTTAGGAAGATGTTTTTGGTTGATATCTAGATCATATCAATATAAAATTTTCTCTCCTTTTGATTGAGTTTCCTGCTTTTTTAAATAACATATCATTAGTTAAATGTATTTATACACAGTGATTAATTCTATATACAAACAAGAATAAATCAGTTGTTTTGCTAAGCATATGAAATTCACAATTCAAAGTCTCTAAAAACAAGAAGTATCTACAAATTTTGACACATCCAAAATGGCAGACACAACTCATCATGGTCAAGCCACTTACCAAATATGAAGTCATTCTGTTCATCAACATTACTAATTAAAGTAATGAAAAATTTGAGAACATTCAACATTTTGAAATACAATGTATAAGCAAACAGGAAACAGGTGCTAGATACAAAAATGTTCACACATCACAGTTCATCACTATCAAGCAGCTCATTAAATATGAACTCATCTTTATCAGCATTTTTGGGAAAAACAGTGATGAAAATATTTGTTGGACAAAATCCGACAAATATAGGTGGACAGACGATTGACAGTGCAAGAATGCCCACATTCCAACCACAATGGTATAATGTTTAGTTTTTCACTCTCAACTTTTATTACCTATCTTATACACATCATGCATATGTCAACCAAAACATGCATGACATATATGCCATTAGACATTATGCAAACATTATACACATTTTTAAGTTCAAGTTACATTGACTAAAACTTGTGTCCCAAATTCAGATTTTTCAATACAACTTCTCTTTCTAAACTAAAACGCTACACTTCTAATAGGGTTACATCTTAAGTCAATAATCATTGATAATTGGCTGAAGAGATGAGAACAAAACACCATTTTACATCAACTACATGTATTTGATTTATTTAAGAATACATTGAAAAGTCAATCAATTGTGTTATTCAAAATCACTTGGAATGTCTTGTAGTGTCTTATATCTTTTTCTTGCTGTGCCATGCTTCTGAAAAAAAAATTAATCTTACATTCATATATAAACTTCTTGCACATTCCTTTATCATAGAACGATTCACGTTGCCTGAAGGATATACATCCCCTCCCCTTTAAAGTTTTGAAACAAATAACGATGATAGTCTGTCGGAAGGGGAAAATAAATGGCTGACCGTGTTAAGAGAGAGCAATATGCCACGCTGAACTTCATTTAGTTATTTAAACAAGAGTGCACACGCTGAAATGTCTCGCCTTCTTTACTAATCATTGATATTATGTTGATAGTCTTAAATATAAAGCTTTACTACAACTATCACATACACTTAACATGATCCAAGAAAATGAGGTCACGGTCATATAAACCAAACAAGAAATACATGTACACCTTACAATCATTCAATACCCTCAATATAGTTGACCTATTGTTTATAGTTTCTAAGATACAGACTAAATCAAGAAAACTAAACATTGACCAATGAACCATGAAAATGAGGTCAAGGTCAGATGAACCATGCCAGGCAGACATGTACAGCTTGCAATCCTTCCATACAACAAATATAGTTGACCTATTGCTTATAGTATTAGAAAAACAGACCAAAACACAAAAACTTTACACTGAGCAATGAACCGTGAAAATGAGGTCAAGGTCAAATAAAACATGCAAGACTGACATGTACATCATAAAATATTTCCATACACCAAATATAGATGACCTATTGCATATAGTATTAGAAAAAAAGACCAAAACTCAAAAACTTAACTTTGACCACTGAACCATGAAAATGAGGTCAAGGTCAGAAGACACCTGCCAGCTAGACATGTACACCTTACAATCATTCCATACACTAAATATAGTAGACCTATTGCATACAGTATAAGAAAAACAGACCAAAACACAAACACTTAACTATAACCACTGAACCATGAAAATGAGGTCAAGGTCAGATGACACCTGCCAGTTGGACACGTACACCTTACAGTCCTTCCATACACAGAATATGCTAGACCTATTGCTTTTAGTATCTGAGATATGGACTTGACCACCAAAACTTAACCTTGTTCACTGATCCATGAAACGAGGTTGAGGTCAAGTGAAAACTGTCTGACGGGCATGAGGACCTTGCAAGGTATGCACATACCAAATATAGTTATCCTATTACTCATAATAAGATAGAAATTAACATTACAAAAAATGTTAACTTTTTTTTCAAGTAGTCACTGAACCATGAAAATGAGGTCAAGGACAATGGACATGTGACAGATGGAAACTTCGTAACATAAGGCATCTATATACAAAGTATGAAGCATCCAGGTCTTCCACCTTCTAAAATATAAAGCTTTTAAGAAGTTAGCTAACGCCGCCGCCGCCGGATAACTATCCCTATGTTGAGCTTTCTGCGACAAAAGTCGCCGGCTCGACAAAAAAACCTCATAAAAAACTTTAGACTAGATATGTGTCCAGTCAAGAGTCTTATTTCATTATACTCGTTGATTGTTGTCTATCATATTTTATTTCTTTTATTGTTTTGTATAAATCAGGCTGTTGTTTTTCTTGTTTTTTTTTAGTTTTCATTAAATGCATTGTATCATGTAGGGGCCTTTAAAAGCCGTGCTACATAATGTCATTAAACATCTTATTTTAAGTGTTAAACTCTGTAGAGTGACATAGTTTATAACTTGTCATTTGAATCTACATGTAAGGGCATATGATACAGTCCTAGAAGTATACTATAGGCACATAACAACTTATCGAAATGTTACGCATTGTTTTCGCAATGATGATAATAATATAACTTAACTTCCGAGAAACACACAGATGTCATTAAATGAGTTGTTTATATGTATTTGAAATACTTCAAAGGAAAGCAAATATGTTGTTTATGAAAGCACACTGTTGGACTAAAAGATTGATTTAAACAGATAACTTGTTTCTATTTTGTCACAAAAAAATAATTTATTCAAATATCCAGATATCTTTTCTGTATTGTATGCCCTTAATCTTGAATGTAATGCATTGTTTATGCTAAATATTTGAATTAAATATGGAATAACAGTAATTCTGTATGAAAATCTTACTTCAAAAAAAAAATCTCCTGAAAGGTTGAAGACATTCCAAAGAACCTGCGCCACTTCCAAATTGTAAACCTGCATATTGAACTTGTCCTTTGTGGCTTTTCTTTTAGCTCCTGTTAAAAAAATAAAAGATACATAGTATGTACATTGTGTGTATGAAGCAATAAATATAATTTTAAGCAACAGTTTATATTATCTTGCTTGTACTGAAGTCTTACATAGTCTTTGTAATGTTCATTAAGCTGTTAAGGGAAGTTTAATTTACTGTTTTGCAAAAAAATACATACACTGATTTTACTAGAAAAAAAAAATCTCCATATTCAAATGGTGCTTATATTAGTGTTATTGTAACTTGTTTGTGTGCCTCGGAAACAAGGTATTGAGTCATGCTTATTGCAATAGTTGTCGTTGGTTTAAGTCTGTCAAATTTCTTTTTCATAATGTGTATTTAATGTAGGCAGTTAGTTGTTTTGTTTCAATTGTGTTGAGAAAAATTTAACATTTGTTTGTCAAGGCTTCAAAGTGGACTATATGGTATTGGTTTTCTCAGTTTTGAAAGCTGTACAGTGACCTATAATTTCTTTTATCCAAGTCATTTAAATTCTGGTGGATAGCTGTCTCATACACCTTATCGCTATTTCAGTATTTGGAAATCTGTCCCGCTTGAACTTTTTACGTCAGCATACGTCATACAATAATACACCTTATCGCTATTCCCGCTTGACCCGAGAATTTATCCTGCTTGAACTTTTGACATAAAAAAACAATCACTTTTCCATTGTGGCATCAGATATTTTTTATGATGACGTCAAAATTTTAAGGGAACTTGTGACAGTTGTGTGATGTCCAATAATGGCGGACAAATAGCGATAAGGTGTATTACTTTCAATTGTGGTGCCAAATATTTTTAATATGACGTCAACATTTTACGGGAACTTTTGTGATGTCCATGGCCAGTAATGGCGGACAAATAGTGATAAGGTGTATTGGCAATCAAACACACAAGCCACATATCCTTATAATTTTTTTATATCAATGAACAAATTCATAATTGGTGTACGTAGATGCTTGAACAGTGGCGGATTTAGGGGCCCCGACCCCCTTATGGAGCTACTTATAAGATAAATGTATAGACTATTTACAAGTATCACTCCAAACGTTTGCTTGCCTTGGGCAGGGGCCCCCCTTTTTTCAAAACCTTGATCCGCACCTCCAGAAACAGATCTGATGTAATTTGGTTCCGATTATGATTGAACACACACAATGAATGCACAAGTTTCATCTTAACAGATTAACCATTCTTACCGAGTGAGTATATATCGCGTAACAAACAATTTTCTTGGCTCTCTTTGTTGATATCCTGTCTTCGTTTCAAAATTCAAATTTCAAAATCATTTCCGGTGATAAAACAAAAGTCGATTCCGGAAAAGATCGGTTTTCCGTAAGGCATATAAACGATACGAAAATTGAACTTAGTACAGTTACAGTTTTCATTTCTTAATTTCTAAAATATACACGAACGAAATGAATAAACATTAAAGAAAGGTGATTGTTTATTAATACATTATTGCTCTATTTAATGTTGACTCTTTTGAATTTTAATATAAGAAGGAATAAAATCTGACTTCAAGGATCTTCAAGATATCAATTAAGGATTTCAACCATAGTATCTTGCTTGTCATGATATTGATGAAATGTAGTACTATATCTTATCCTGAAAAAAAAAACGAGCTTATTCCACAAAACGTTGTTTGTGGGGTTTTGAATAAAGTTTAAATAAAATATTATTTTTATATCCGTAAAATGTTGAATAAAATATCAGTAAGACTATTAAGTAATGTGTATGTCAGAATATTTTATAGAAAACATTTAGCTGATATTTTTCAGATGTTTTGTGTAAAACATTTTAATTTTACGTTATAAAACATTTTATGCAAATAGCAAAACTATATTTTCTGTAAAACATTTTTTTGCAGAATGTTTTTTGGATATTTGGAAAATATTTACTTTAAATGTTGCTAAAATATAAAATACCAATTGAAGAAAATATTATTTTTTTATATTATAAAATATCTACGGGATATTTTAGAACAATGTTTGAGAACATGAATCAAAGATATTAGCAAATAATATTTTGTTAATGTTGTAAAAAACATTTTACTTAAATGTTAGAAATAAAACATTTCAAAAACAATAAAATAAACATTTTTTTTATGTTTAAATGATATCTTATTGAAATATTTTGTGTGAGACGTCGATATGACATTTCAAAAATGTTTTTAAAATGTTGTGTGTTTGCTGGGTGAAGAACAAAGTTTTTCGAGACAAAAATGCAAACCAAGTTGAACATGTTTTTGCTGTTACTTTATTTCATGTTTAGCCCTTTTCAGGCCCAGGACTGAAAAAAACCCACAGACATTAACAAATAAAATTTCACAAAAACCACAAGTAAACAAAAGCAAAAGCAACATGAATTCCAACAAAATAAAAATCAAGACAAAGTCAGGTGCTCCAGATAGTAAAGCAGTTCCTTCACCACTATTACCTCGTGGTTTAACACATGACCAGTGAAAATCACATTTGATGATGTCACAAGCAAGGACTTCAGATACGGTATGCTCTCGAAATCCTTTTTCTTCTAAAATCACAATCTGAATGCCTTTGGTGTATAAACATTTACATTCCATTATTTAAAAAATAAAACTGGCATCACTTTTGTAACCTTTAGTAATGTTAATAAATAATGTTTAATTTTAAGCTAATGTATGATTTGTAATCCATTGCCCTTTATGTTTTTACATTTTCGTCATCCCACAACGTGCTGATCCAATTTGAATCAAAGTGGCAGGGATAATTATCAAAGATTATTTTTTTTATTTTAAAATTTGTATTTTGTATAGATGAAGAAAAAACATTGCCCATTGAGGTATATCAATTATAATTTGATTTCCTGAATTTATGGTCAAGTTATTTTAAACTTATAGGAATAACGTTTTGAAATACCTTTAGTTGTGCTGAATGGGAGACATACATATCGGCAAAGATTCAACAAAAGTGACCACTAAATCCTGTGAGAAAACATCTTTTCATCCTCACCTCTAAAACTACTAGCCCAATAATTATATGAACTAAATTTGATGTTGAATAAACCACTGCACAGATAACGTTTGAAAGAACTTGTATAGCAATACTTCATTTCAATTTGATATAAAGAAAAATTATTTTTCCAATAACATTTTGAAAGATTTTTTTTACAATTGATTATTTCACATACATGTGTATCAATACTGAAATCTTGATCTTTTGATGTTTTACCGAAAAGGCAGTGGTTTAATTTTGGAGTGTCAAATGTTTTGTCAATACAGTATTTTATTTTAATGCCAAATTCATACGAACCATTGATCAATTTGTTAAAGAGAAAAAAAAAACATAATCATAATAAATGAGAATGCCAGATAATTTTATATTTATTGATTGAAGTTAAATAAAGATTAAAAAAAACAAATCAAACGTTTTCTCATGATGCTATTTCTTGATCTAGCAGATAAGTGTGTGTACATGTTTCATACCAATCCATTAAGGTTTGCAAATTTATCTTATCAAATTAATGTTAACTGCAAAAAACTAACATATATGTCTAGCAGTAAAATACTGAACAATGAAACAAAGAATGTAATAAATTTTGCCGAACAAATTATCTCTTAATCATGAAAAAGCTCCTACCAAAGTTTCATGAAAACAAATGAACGTTTGACAAACTTTAACCCCAGACTGTTGTTACTTGTTACTGCAAAATAAAGTAAGTTCTTTCATCAGTAAAATAGGAAAAATGAAAAAAAAAATATTTTTCATTATTTTGCTCTGGATACTGTCTTGATCATAAAAGCTTCTGTCAAAGTTATTGGTGACTGAAAAAAATAACCTTTAATATCAAGTTCGTAAAATCACACGTTGTTATTAAGCTTGGGCATGAAATCACATCGGGTTTTGTTCTGCCTACAGACACAGACAGCCGTAGCATTATTTGACACAACGGAATTATGAATTTTCAATTTTATGTATTTTATATGACCTTTCAAGTGATTCGAGTGTCACTGATCAGTCTTATGCACACGAAACGCATGTACCAAATATAAGCCTGATATCTTTATTTTTTTCACGACTGCTGGTAAACATTTCGTCCACGGTGGTATCACCAGTCTTGTAGTCGCAACTTTTTTGTTGACATGAAATTTCATTAATACGTTCATTTCATTTTAATTTACTGTTTATAAAATGTTGAATGATTCCAAACACTTCCTGGCATAGTTAGCCTTAATCGTATTTTGCTCAACTTTTCGGAATGTTTGCTCTTCATCAATTTCATGTTTAATTTTGCCTTCCAACTGTCCCGGTTCGAGTGCCACTGATGAGTCTTGTAAAGACGAAACGCACGTCTGGCGTACCAAATTATAAGTCTGGCATCTTTGATGAAAGAGGGTCGAAAGATACCAGAGGGACAGTCAAACTCATAGATCGAAAATAAACTGACAACGCCATGGCTAAAAAATAAAAAGACAAACAGACAAATAATAGTACAGATGACACAACATAGAAAAACTAAAGACTAAGCAACACGAACCCCACGAAAAACTGGGGGTGATCGCAGGTGCTCCGGAAGGGTAAGCACATCCTGCTCCACATGTGGCACCCGTCGTGTTGCTCATGTTATTACAAATCCGGTAAATAGTCTAATTATATCGTATCAATTGGGAGATATAAACTCCGTATGCAGGCGCTACTGGAATGTTGCTACATAGAAATGGAAAGTTCACAATTGGGAAGCTGAAATCGTCTCTTTTGTCAAACAGTTTTGTTTTCAACCGACCCTCATTGTCAATTTCTAGATGTATGTCAAGATATGAGGCAGACTTAACTGTATCTGTTGTATCCTTTATCTCTAGTTCGATGGGATAGATGCGTTCAACGTAGTGACCAAATTTTGAATTATTTAGTGAGAGAACATCATCTATATAGCGGAAAGTAAAGTTAAAGGATATTGCTAACTATTTATCTTTCTTCCTAAGAAGTTCCTGTATGAAGCCAGCCTCATAATAATAAAGAAACAAGTCGGCAAGAAGAGGGGCACAATTGGTTCCCATTGGAATGCCGACAGTCTGTTGAAAAACACGTCCTCCAAACGTAACAATTATGTTGTCAATCAAGAAATCAAGCACCTTGATAATGTCAGTTTCAGAGAATTTTTGTTTGAATCAGAGTGATTCTTTACAAAGTAGGATTTATCCCTCCCCAAGACAAGATACTTGTATCTGCTTTCGCCATTCTTTTTTATGAAACAAAGCAATATAAACTCTTTCAATTTGTGTTTTAGTTTGGAATCGGGAATACTTGTGTAAAGTGTAGAAAAGTCAAATGTTTTAATACTATTGCAAGATGAAAGAGTCTTAGATTGTATGTACTCTAAAAGATCTTTGGAATTTTTTAGTATCCACATCTGATTCACGCCACCTCTAGAATAGGCAGTTTCACAATAACTTTGAAGCCCGGCTTTGATTGCTGATAAAATAGATGTTAATAATTTAGAAAGTGGTTTCGTGGAGCACTTGGAAGACCCAGCAATATAACGTTGTTTGTAAGGACACTTATGTAGTTTAGGTATCCAATACTGTAACAGTGATGGAAGATCCAGTTCTTCATCTTTGGTTGAGATTCCAAAGGAACATAGAACAGACCTATGATTATCCAGGATTTCCTCTTTGGTAAGTGTCGTGAGGGTATATGTTGAGTTTCCAAGTGAATTGGTGTTGAATGAGTTTCTACAACCACTGGGTCGATGCCTCACTTTTGTGTTCACATGACATATCTTTCATATGTTCTTACTGTTCATAAATGTTGAATTTTTCGATAGACTAAGATTTTTCTTCCTTCATAGATAGTCTTAGCCGTATTTTGCACAATTTTCGGAACTTGGGATTTTCAATGCCATTCAACTTCATATTTTGATTTGCACTTCAATTGTTCTGATGTGAGCGCCACTGCTGAGTCTTGTATAGACGAAACACTTGGCTTGCGTACTAAATTATAAGCCTGGAATCTTTGATGATGTTTACAACCACTTGGTCGATGCCATTGCTGGTGAACGTTTCATCTCCGAGGGCATTACAAGTCAAGTAGTCAGCACTTTTGTGTTGACATGAAATATCTTCCATAGGTTCCTTTCAGTTCATAAAATGTTGAATCATTTGATACGCTGTGGGTTTTTCTACCTCCAGGCATAGATAGCCTTAGTCGTACTTTGCAGTTTTTCGGAATTTGGGGTTTTCAATGTTCTTCAACTTCCTATGTTGATTTTCTCTTTCAATTGTTTTGATCCGAGCGCCACTGCTGAGTCTTATATAGACGAAACGGATGAGTGGTGTACCAAATTATAAGCGTGGTATCTTTTATGAGTTTTTACAACCACGGGGGTCGATGCCATTTCTGGTGGACGTTTTGTCCCCAAGTGTATTACCAGCTCAGTAATCAGAATTTGTTGTTGACATGCAATATCATTAATACATTTATTTTATGTAACTTCAATGTTTATACAATGTTGAAGTATTCAAAACATTAAGGTCTTTTCTACCCAAGGGATATATGGCTTAGTGGTATTTTCAACAAACTTTTTGGAATTTCTATGTTTAATGCTCTTCAACTTCGTACTTCAAACTTACGATTTATATATCCAACTGTTTTGATTCGAGTGCTATCGATAAGTTTAGTGTAAACGAAACGCTCGTCTAGCGTACACATTAAAAGCCTGGTATCTTTGATGATTTATGTTCAACCCTGATCGGTCGACCATAGATATATTAATGAAATCTGGTACACTCGAAAAAGATTGTGTACAATTCTTTTTCTATTTGTGCGAAATTTATTTCTGATGCAATTACAGATTTTGAGACATAATATAAGCTACCTGCTTGTCATCTTAAAGCAAGACTGCACCAAG